TACTGTCCCTTCCCAGAGCTGTGTCTGTGTTCTTGTCTCTTGTCTGTCTCTAGATATTTCATCTGTCAGCACAGGAATTAGCACTTCACTCAGCACGTACCTTGTCTCCTCCTTGTGCAGTCCAGCGACGGAGGAGTCAGGGGGGACTGGAGAGAATTCCAACTTGTGGTGCCTGAAACAAAGGTTTTTCTTCTTTCATTCCCTCTCCCTGCAGTTTCTTAATGCTCCTTTTCCCTAGGAGTTGCCTGTTGTTCCTTATACCTGATCCCCAGTTCTCCCAGTACCTCTGGTTCTCTTGCTCCTTTGACTGCAGCTGATGGGCTTCGGAGCCCTGGTATTCATGGGTGCTGACAGCTCTGGGAATGCTGCAGGCATCCTTGAGCCTCTTCCTCTCCTTCAGGATGAACTCGTAGAGGTCTCGGTGGCGCTTGCAGCAGAATCTCTGCAAGGTGGAAGAGCGGAGCCTTGAGTGCAGCTGTTCCACAGCAAATCCCTGCTCGTCCTTCCCCCAGCTTACGTATTCCATGTCCTTGGAGAAAGGGACATCCTCCGGGGAAGGGACATCCTCAAGGACAGGGACATCCTCAAGGAAAGGGACATCCTCGGGGAAAGGGAATGGCCTCAGGAGGCTGCCGCAGTACTCACATCTCGGCTCAGTGTCCTCCTCTGCCTGCAGTGACATGGGGAGAGTGGGGAGGAGGGACAGGGGGGACCAGCCCCCGGATCCCCCTGTTAGTGTGAGGAAAGAGGGCTCTGCTCAAAATGCAACATGACAAAGCACCCAAGGGTGGTTACAACTGATCTGTGTCTGGGATATCTTGAAATGATTTAACTCAAAATATTGAGTTCAGAAACCACCAAAAAGAAAAGCAGATCTGTGGTAAATAAATAAATAAATGCCCACAAAGAAAGGGAATGACTGTGGTATTTATTAGCCTTACTCCTTCGGGGGAAAGCTGAGAGCACAGAATGCTGTAGCTGAGGATTCAGATGTGTTAACCCTTTCAAACACATTGTATGGGCTTTGGAGAGAAAAAGCTGCCGATGGCTGCAGTCGTGGGGAGTTTCTGAGGAACCAGTGACACAGGGCTGGTCACATCTGACCAGATGCAACCCAGGGTGGCTGCAGGGTGTATTTTGAGGATGGGTACTGGATATCCTGAAACGAAGTTTCCTTGCTCCCAGTCTCGTGCCTCGGATCAACTCTCTGGTGACTCTACTCTGCTAAGGGTTATGGAGAACTCTGTACCCTGCTTGTATTCTGCGACTGTACCTATTTATCTACATTTTGTCTCTGGTTTAGCCAGAGGCCAAAACCTTCCGCTGGGAAATTGTCAGCCGAGGCCGCGGCGGCGGGGAGAGGCCGCGCAGGTGTGCACACCCAGCCCTCCCCAACAGCCCCGCACCACAAAAACCCCGTCACCGCGGGGCTGCCGCGCCCGCCCGCCAAAGCACGCCGGTCCCACGCTCCGTGGGACGGTGGGAATGAGGCGGAGAGGGGAGCGCCCGGCCCGCACCCACCTCGAGGTGCGCGGGTGCCCGCGAGGCCTCGCGTCTGTAGGCCAGGAGGGCGGGCAGGGCCGCGCCCGGGGGGGCCCCACAGCGCGGCTCTGCCGGGCCACCTGCACCCTCCCGAGGGGGCTGCCCCTGCCCACGGCCCGGCCCATCGCCCGGCCCATCGCCCGGCCCGGCCATCCCCGCCCGCTCCGGTGCCGTCTCCGGGGTGACGCGTCGGGCGCGGGGGCCGCCGGGACCGAGCGAGGCGGCGGCTCCGCCTCAGGCCCGGCCCGGCCCCGTCCGGGCCGCTCCGCCCGTGCAAGGTAAGGATGAAGGACTGGGCAGGGGGACGGGGATGGGGGGGGGTCCGGGCGGCCCGGTAGGGCTGCCCGGACCACCCCCCCATCTCCGTCCCCCTGCAGAAGACCCCCACCCATCACCCCCACATCCCCATCCCCCTGCAGAAGACCCCCACCCATCACCCATCACCTCCCCATCCCCATTCCGTGCAAGGTAAGGATGAAGGGCTGGGCAGGGGGACGGGGATGGGGGGGGGGTCCGGGCGGCCCGGTAGGGCTGCCCGGACCACCCCCCCATCTCCGTCCCCCTGCAGAAGACCCCCACCCATCACCCATCACCTCCCCATCCCCATCCCGTGTAAGGTAAGGATGAAGGGCTGGGCAGGGGGATGGGGATGGGGGGGGGTCCGGGCGGCCCGGTAGGGCTGCCCGGACCACCCCCCCCATCTCCGTCCCCCTGCAGAAGACCCCACCCATAACCCCCTTTCACCTCCCATCCCCATCCCGTTGCAAGGTAAGATGAAGGGCTGGGCAGGGGGACGCGTGATTGGGGGGGGGTCCGGGCGGCCCCGGTAGGGCTGCCCGGACCACCCCCCCATCTCCGTTTCCCCTGCAGAAGGGACCCCCCACCCATCACCCCCCCATCCCCGTCCCCCTGCAGAAGACCTCCACCCATCACCCCCACATCCCCATCCCCATCCCGTGCAAGGTAAGGATGAAGGGCTGGGCAGGGGGATGGGGATGGGGGGGGGTCCGGGCGGCCCGGTAGGGCTGCCCGGACCACCCCCCCATCCCCGTCCCCCTGCAGAAGACCCCCACCCATCACCCCCACATCCCCATCCCCCTGCAGAAGACCCCCACCCATCACCTCCCCATCCCCGTCCCGTGCAAGGTAAGGATGAACTATGTGAAAATGAATCAAATCCTTAGGAATTCTTGCCTCGGCTCTGCTGAAAGCACAGGTGTTAACACACACCTGTTGGGAGCCACCACGGCTTTGCTCTGATCCCACTTAAGCGGGAGGCAATTAGTTCGCCGGGCTGATGCTGCTGGAGTTCTGCCAGCACAGTGTGTTAAGTGAGACCAGATGTAGGATCTTTAATCATTGGCATGCAGTGCCTAGAGAGTAATTCCTCAGGGGTTTTTTTTTGCCCATGGTCACTCCTAAATTCTTAAGGCCAGACTGAGCTTCCCTTTGTTGAGGCCGAACTTGTTCTCGTGCACTTTCCTGGTGCTGGCTCTGCAGAGCTCGGGCTTAACTCCAGAGAGCTCTTCCCTGGGGGAACGCTGTTACCCTTCTGAATTGTGCTTATTCACACCAAACCTCACCTGTCACTTTACCTGGAGTTTTCCACTATTGTGAGGCCTCCCATTGCCAGTCCCTCAGTGGACTGTGCCTCCTGCAAACACACACATGCCCGAGATTTGGCACGGCCGTATGTGGAGCTGGGATTTGTAGCCAGTGATTCAGGCAGAACATTCCAGTGGCAGAGGGGGAGCTGCAGGCAGAGTCAGCTGTGGTGACAACCTGTGATCCAGTTGCAGAGGTCAGGCTGTCACTGCTGTCTCTGGGACTCGTGTCTCCCCCCCCCCCCGTTGCTCTGCTCCTGCCGCAGTGGCCGTGTCTGGCAGCAGGACGTGGTGGGGACAAGGACCCCGGCGGGGTGAGCCAGCCCTGCCGGGGGATCCCTGCTGGTCCAGCACGGCTGAGGACACAGAGTCACCTCAGAGAAGCTGCCACGCACATGTGTGTTAGCACAGCTCCACAGTGTTGGTTTTGCAAAATATTTATTGCAAAATAAAAGTAAATATGGCAACAAAACTTAAATAGCAAATGACGTGACACTGGCCATAAAGCTCTTGCTATATTATGAGTCTTTTACAATAATCAATATTGTCAAGTGTGTCTCCCAGGGCAGCTGCACGGGGACAGCCCGAGTCTGTCGCTGTGTCACTGGCTCCAGCTGTCTGGGATCTGTGAGAATTGTGCCTCCTGCTCGCACCTGTACCTGGCCAGATCCCCCTGCACCAGACAGGAGTCACACAGGAGTACCTTCCTTGCTTCCTGAAACCTGCTGGGCTGTACCCCAGCCCCCCCTCCTCTTTTTCCTTTTAAAGCCGCTGCAGCTGACCCACTGCCCATCCCCTTCCATAATGGAATGGAGAAACATTGCTGAAGTACCTACTGCTCCTGCTTTGAGTCACAGCTTCTTCTGAAAGGTTGCTTGGATTCCTTTCCCTTCCCACCTACTAGGAAAAGACAGGCAGCCGTGGAGGAGAGACTGTTGGAGCAGCCAGGGATCAGGTTAGGAAAGCTAAAGCCTGATAGAATTAAACCTGGCCAGGGACGTCAAGGGCAACAAGCAAAGCCTGTACAGGTACATCGGTGATAAAAGGAAGAGTAGAGAAAATGTGGGCCCTCTCCAGAAGGAAACGAGAGACCTGGTTCCCCAGGACTTGGAGAAGGCTGGGATGGATACTCAGCGACGTTTGTCTCAACCTTCATGGCAAGTGCTCCAGCCACAGCACCTGAGCCACAGGAGGCAAAGGCAGGGGGTGGGAGAAGGAAGAACCGCCCACCGTGGGAGAGGATCAGGGTCGAGAAGGTCTAAGGGACCTGAAGGGGCACAAGTCCATGGGACCTAACGAGATGCACCCATGGGTCCAGAGGGAACTGGCAGAGGAAGTGGCTCAGCCACTACCCATCATATTTGAGAAGTCATGGCAGTCCAGTGAAGTTCTCATGGAGTGCAAAAGGGGAAACATAACCCCCTTTTTTAAAAAGGGGAGTAAGGAAGACCCAGGGAACTACAGGCTGGTAAGTCTCACCTCGGTGCCCAGCAAGAGCATGGAGCAGATCCTCCTGGAAACTATGCTAAGGCACATGGAAAATAAGGAGGTGATTGGTGACAGCCAACATGGCCTTACTAAGGGCAAATCATGAGAACCTGGAGCCCCTTCCAGTGCCTATAGGTGCTACAAGAGAGCGGGAGAGGGACTTTGGACAAGGGCCTGGAATGACAGGACAAGGCAGAATGGCTTCCCACTGCCAGAGGGAAGGGTTATATGGGATATTGGGAAGAAATTCTTCCCTGTGAGGGTGGGGAGGCCCTGGCACAGGTTGCCCAGAGAAGCTGTGGCTGCCCCATCCCTGGAAGTGTCCAAAGCCAGGCTGTACAGGGCTTGGAGCAACCTGGGTAGTGGAAGGTGTCCCTGCCCATGGCAAGGGGATTGGAATAGATGATCTTTAAGTCTCTTCCAACCCAAACCCTTCTGTGATACTGCAGCCTGTTAGTAGAGCTCACCAGTGAGAGAGCGAATCTGTAGTGCTGTTTAAAGGGCTTTTAGGTGCGCTCCAAACAGGAGCTTCTTAAGCCACATGTCCAATGGAAGCACTCTTTACATAAAATACAATTAAATTATAAAAGGTAACTGTGTGTGTGTAATCTTCCTAAGGCACCCAAGAATTTTAAAAGACCTTGTCCCACTCATGTTACTTACAGGACACTCTTGTTCCTCTTCTCCCCAAAGTCACAACTGCTGGCTAGTCAGGAACCTTAGCGTACACGATGACATAGTTGAACAGCATTAAAAACAGGAACCAAAAGCAAACCCCGGGGAAGCACTACGTCCAGACAGCTCGGGTCACGGACAGCACATGGAAATGGTCACGTTAATGCCGAGGTTCCCGTTGTCAGCAAAGAGGTGCGCGGTGGCCGTGTCAAAAACGAGGCAGTTGCTGTTGCGGATGGCCACGGACACGCCGTCGTGGATGGAGCAGGGGGAGGCCTCCCAGGTCAGCCGGTGGCAGTTGCCGTGCAGTTCCAGCCTGTACTGAAAGTTCTCCGCCTGCTTTCGGGTGCCGATGAGCAGCACGGTGGCGAAAAACTGCTGGTGGCCTTCGCACTTCTCCTGCTTCTTCAGCACCAGCATGAAGTGGTGGCTGAAGCACGACTGCATCATCACCCAGTCCACTGCCCCTGGCAGGTTAATGTCTGTGGCGAGGAAAATGATGTCTTCTCCCTGAAGGGTGGTGATGCTTTTGTGGGCGTGCATGAGGTGGGACATCACGGCTTCCAGCGATCCCTCCCAGTCGCAGGAGGTACCGGGGCACGGGCAGGAGTAGGGACGGTACTCACAGACGGCTTCGTGTTTTGGCTTTTCCGTGTGGTGGAGCGTCAGGGAGCAGCCTGTCGTGGCATACTGGGAAAAAAAGACCAAATACGAGCCGTCAGGAAAGGCACCGGCGCTGGGGATGGGGATGTGGGGGTGATGGGTGGGGGTCTTCTGCAGGGGGATGGGGATGTGGGGGTGATGGGTGGGGGTCTTCTGCAGGGGGACGGGGATGGGGGGGTGGTGGGGGGGGGTCCTTTCTGCCGGGGGATGGGATGTGGGGGTCATGGGTGGGCGGTCTTCTGCCAGGGGGGACGGGATCGGGGGGGGGGTCTTCGGGCAGCCCTCCTGGGCTGCCCGGACCCCCCCCCATCCCCTTCACCCTGCCCAGCCCTTCATCCTTACCTTGCACGGGAAGAGGACAGCCGAGGCCACCTTCTCCATGGCCAGGTTCCTGATGTTGGGGGTGAGGGAGCCCCGACAGGTGGGGCAGAGGCTCAGCTGCTGCCGGCATTGCTTGCACACGAGGTGCCCGGCCTGGCACTGCAGGATGGGCGGCAGGACATAGTCGAAGCAGATCGGGCACTCGAAGAGCGAGGTCAGCTCCTGCTGCTGCTGCTGCTGCTGCTGGGGGGGAGGAAGAGGAGGAGGAGGAGGAGGGGGAGGCGGCGGAGAAGCCCCGCCGGGCCCCGGCAGGACGACGGCGGGGGACGGGGCGTGATGCTGCTGCTGCTGCTGCTGCTGCTGCTGCTGCTGCTTCCCGCAGGGCTTGCTAGGGCCGGGGCCGGCGGAGGACGGGCGGCTCATCGCGCCTCGGCACCATCGGACCGCGCTGGGGAGGGAGAGGGAGGGGAAGGAGGGAGAGGAGGAGGAGGAGGAGGACGGGGGGAAGGACGGACGGGGCGGCGCTGGGAGAGCGGCGGCTGCGCGGCCCCTGCCCCGCTCCCGGCGGGCCCCGCGCGGGCGGAACCGGCACCGGGAGCGACAGGGAGTGATCCGTGTGTGTGTGATGTGTGTGCTCTGTGTGTGTGCTGTGTGTGTGATATGTGTGATATGTGTGTGTGCTCCCTGTGTGCTGTGTGATGTGTGTGCTGTGTGTGTGCTCCCTATGTGCTCCATGTGTGCTCTGTGTGTGTGCTCCCTGTGTGCTCCCTGTGTGCTCCCTGTGTGCTCCCTGTGTGCTCCATGTGTGCTCTGTGTGTGTGCTCCCTGTGTGCTCCCTGTGTGCTCCCTGTGTGCTCTGTGTGTGTACTCCGTGTGCTCCCTGTGTGCTCCCTGTGTGCTCTGTGTGTGTGCTCTGTGTGTGTACTCCCTGTGTGCTCCATGTGTGCTCCCTGTGTGCTCTGTGTGTGTACTCCCTGTGTGCTCCATGTGTGCTCTGTGTGTGTACTCCGTGTGCTCCATGTGTGCTCTGTGTGTGTACTCCCTGTGTGCTCCATGTGTGCTCTGTGTGTGTACTCCCTGTGTGCTCCATGTGTGCTCTGTGTGTGTACTCCGTGTGCTCCCTGTGTGCTCCCTGTGTGCTCTGTGTGTGTACTCCCTGTGTGCTCCCTGTGTGCTCCCTGTGTGCTCCCTGTGTGCTCCGTGTGTGTACTCCCTGTATGCTCCATGTGTGCTCTGTGTGTGTACTCCCTGTGTGCTCCCTGTGTGCTCCCTGTGTGCTCTGTGTGTGCTCCCTGTGTGCTCACTGGGGCCATACCCCCTCACTGGGGCTGTCAAAAAAATGATGAAAGATGTTTTTGGGCTGATTTAAAATGTTCTGCAGAATGAGGTGTTTTCTTAGCTCTGGTTTTACATGCGGGGGCCAGAGAAGGGAAGAAGTTGGGCTGGTTTCATTCCCCAGACAAAAAAGAAAAAAGGTTTTTGGGGAAAAAACTGGCAGTTTAAACAACATCTCTTTCAGTGACACGAGAGAAGTGAATCACAGAACAATAGAAACACAGAATTGCTTAGGTTGGAAAAACCTTTAAGATCATTGAGTCAAACCATTAACTTAGCACTGCCAAGGCCACCACTAACTGGTGTCCCTTGGCACCACATCTACGCGTCTGTTAAATCCCTCCAGGAATCAGAGAGTCACAAAATGGTGTGGGTCAGGAGGGACCTTAAAGCCCATCCAGTTCAACCTTGGTCTAGAAGGAAGACTCCTTCCACTAGACCACATTGCTCCAAGCCCTGTGAAACTTGGCCTTGAACACTTTCAATATTATTTTCTCCAGAGTTCTTCCTGCAATTTGGTTCTGAGGGTTTTTGTCCATCAACAAGCAACACTTTGTTCTGAGATACCCACACAGAGCATTTCTAACCAAAGTGGCACTACCTGTGAGCAGGTCTGCAGGAGAGGGGCCTTGCTGCCAGGGGCTCTGGTACTTGTTTCCTCCATGAGATTAACTCATTCGAGGTGCCAAAACACGGCATAAGTTTCATTTGTGTGTGTCTGGATTTGTTGCTTGCATTCCTCTGATCCTCCCAGGTGTTTCAGGGCATGACAGCACTCCTGAGCATCTGTGGGATGTGTCGAGGTTTGCAAGGTTTATTTGTCTTCTGCAGAGAATTTCCAGAGTAGAAGTGAAAGGCTGTAGCTGTTGTCACAAGTACTGCACTTCCTGAGGTACCAGAGCTGGGGGAGTTTTCAGAGAAATGTGCCTGACAGCCAGACTGTCTTTATTGCTGCTTATTGCTAAAGCATTGCTAAGCGTGATGTGACCTGGCTGGAACGAGCAAGGGCTCAGCTCTGATGGAGGGAAATGACCAGCTGAAATGTAGCTCTGCACGGCAGGAAGGTTCCAAAAGGATGTGAAGACGTGGGGGCAGCGGGACGGGAGCCCAAGGGAGGGGGCGAGGGCGTGTGCTCCCACAGCGGGTGCAGCTGGGGTTAGCTGGGTTTCTCTTCCTTTTTCTGCCTTTCACAATCCCACTGGGTTTGTGAGGGGGATGGGGAGCAGGGCTGAGGTGGGAGACAGGTGTCTGGGGGCTATGATGTGGCTGAAGGGATGGAGGACCCTGCTCCTGACTCCCTGTTCCCCAGCCTGTGCCGGTGTCCGGAGTTGCCGGTGTGGGCACAGAAGGGTGATGGGCTGGTGCAGCCCTGGGGCCCCTCTCCTGGCGTCAGTGGGGCTGCAGGTGCCAGGGGACCACAGCACTGGGGCTGAGCCACAGCTCTGCAGCGGGGAGGCCACGTGCTCAGGGGTGTCCTGAACTGAGCAGAAACTCAAGAAGGGGACAAGAGCAGGTGCAGATCCCACATCAGCTGTAACCGGCAGCTCCTCATTCTGGCCCGACAGAATCTCAGGCTCGATGTCACCACTTGGTTTTTTTAATTGGAAAACTGAATTAATCTGAACCAAGCTTCTGGATTGCTTGCAGAAGGTTTATTGTTCTCAGTGCAGTTGTCGTTAGCAACTGTACATTAACACTAAGGGTATGACTAATAGATCTTCTTTGAGTGATGGCAACGAAGAAGGAAGTGGACAGTGGTCACTGTGAGTGAGAAGTTATGTGCCCTGCCTGTGCCTGCCAGGCTGATGCAGGGTGCCAGGATTTGGCATGGCAGTAAAATCACTGAATACCAGTGATTTTATACCACAAATACCAGAATGATCCACCACTGCCCTGGGCAGCCCTGCCAGGGGTTGACTCTTTCCTTTTCCTACCGGCTGTCATGGGAAGCAGCATCCTACCACCTGGAAAAGGTGTGTGGTGGGGCAGCGTTGCTGGTGACTGTTCCTCACCTGCACACGCTTCCTCAGTGGGTGTGATGCCTTGTGAACAGCGAGGCCCCTCAGTGCACCAAGGGCTGTTTGATCTGGGGAGGTGTTTTTGTCCTCCACGCTGCAGTGACCAGTGCAGTTGGCAGCGCACAGGAGATGCCAGCACTCTTCAGGAGCAGGGGTCCATCCTGCTCACTCCTCAGAAGAAGGGGTCTGTCCCATTCCAGCTGACGGTGGCACCTGCCCACTTGGTCCTGATTGCCATCTCCAGGGCTGGGCACCTCTTCCCTGGGCTGCAGGCGTCTGCACTTGGGGCCTCTTCCCAGTGATGCGAGTGAGTGTCTGAGGAGGAAATGCTGTTAAAAAAAAAAGTCTAAAAAACCCCAACCCCCCTCAAAAAGGTTTCGGCGAAGGTTAAAAGCAGAAGGTTCTGCAGCCACATGGGTGCAGATGTGCTGCTGCCCTGCCCCAGGGAGCTGGGGGAGCCTGGCAGGGCTCCCAGGCCGGGGCTGCCCTGGAGCCGTTGGCCCCCCCGGGAAATTCCGAGGGTGCTGTTTGCATGTTTGTTTTCTGAGCAGATGCACAGATAATATCTGTGGCCATGCTGGGTTTCATGATGGTGGATCCTGATTCACCTTTCCTTGCAGATTTACCCCTTAGTTCCAAGGTTCTGATCACTTTAACTGCTGCAGTGAAAGGAGAGCGAGGACGAGGGAGGCATTCATTGACGAAGGTAAGTGGTGCATGGTGGCAGAGAAACAAGAATTTTGCACCCCAAGCACAAAGCCTGGTTCACAATCCAAGTGATGTTACAGGAGCAGTTCACCTTTCCTGGGTGGGATGTGGAACTTGGGGGGAAACACAAGGGCTGTGGTGGCACCTGGTGCTGTGCAGGAAAACAGAGACTTCAGCCTCAGTCAGCTGCTGAGAGCAGGAAGGTGACCCCCACGTGCCAGCCTCTCTGCATTGGCATACTGGTTTTGTCTGGGGTAGATTCAACTGTCTGCCCAGTGGCTGGTATGGCACTATGTTTTGGATTTGTGCTGAACACAGGATTGATAATGTAGACATGTTTTTGGTTTTGCTGAGCAGAGCTTACACAGTGTCAAGGCCATGTTGGCAAGGAGATTGGGGGTGCATGGGAGGTTGGGAGGAGGCACAAACTGACCAAAGGGATATTCCAGAGAATATGACATCATGCTCAGTACAAGTGGGGGGAAGAAGGTGGAAGGGGAGGATGTTTGGGTTGGTCTTCTAAGTAACTGTTCTGCAGGATAGGGCCCTACTCTCCTAGAGCTGAACACCTGCCTGCCCATGGGAAGGGGTGAATGAGCTCCTTGTTTTGCTTTGCTTGTGTGCATGGCCTTTGCTTTCCCTATTAATCTGTCTTTATCTCTCTTTTACTCTCCTGCTTCTCTCTCCAGTCCCACTGGTGGGGGAATGAGGAGTGGTTGTGAGGGGCTTGGTTACTGGCCATGGAGAAAACACAACAGCTGGAGAGAGGGTCATTTAAATTTTGAATTAATCATGAAACAATCCTGCTTCATGGTGTGTTTAAACTTTCTATTGAGTACTAAGCACAGGAGGGACAGAGGTCTGTGACGCCCACACCTCACCCCCCGGCAAGCCCGGGTCTGTACCTATCGTCAGGTGTGCCGTCCGGGTCTGCTCCTGCTGCCCGCTGTAGAAGTGGAGGTGGAAGAGCCTCTCGGCTCTCCAGTGGGAGAGCAGCCGGGGGTCGGTGCCGAAGAGGACGCCGTGCCTGCCGGGGACGCCGCACAGCCACACGGGCAGGCGGGGGGTGCGCAGCGCGGGGCTCACCTGGGCAGGGCAGGGCAGGGCAGGGCAGGGCAGGGCAGGCAGGGCAGGGCAGGGCAGGCAGGGCAGGCAGGGCAGGGCAGCCTTGTGAGCCCGAGGGGAGCCGCCGTCCCTCTGCCCTGGCCCCGCTCTCACCTGCCGCTCTCACCTGCAGCTCCGCCGCCCGCTCCCAGCGCAGGAAGCCCACCGGGCCTCGCTGCCCTCGGGCCTCCCCGGCCCCACCGCCGAGCTCCCGGGGGCTCGCCCGTCCCGTCAGGAGGAGGCTGAGCACGGCCTGCGGGGACAGAGCCCGCGGTCACACCGTGGGGACCGGGGCAAACGCCCTTTGCAGGTGGGGTCCCACTCCCAGCTCTGTCGTGCCTGTCGGGAGCAGGGGGACGCCAGGCTGCAGGTGGCTTTTTTGTTATTATTGTTCTTATCGTCATCATCACCATCATCATCATCACCATCATCATCTGTTTTTTGCATGCACAGCCATGATTAGAATTTGCAAAATATTTTTATATGACCTTATGCCTTTTTTCCTCTGCATTAAAAAGAGAGAATTTTTTTCCTAAATCAAATGTGGGAAACATTTGATTGTGGATTGTAGCTGATCCTACCTCTGTGCAGGTGACATTTCCAGAACTGACGTTCAGCAGAGGAGCTGTGTCACCCAAATCCTCTTGGACCCTGTACGGCCAAACACAGAACGTCAGGGCAGTGCCAGGCTGGTGCTGGAAGTGATGCTGCATGTCCCTGCCTGGCTGATGGGAAAGGGAGGAAAGGAAAAGCCATTTCAGAAGATGTAACCAAACTAAAGGAAAATATTTAAAAAGTGAAATATACCTTTCAAGTGTCCTAGAGAAAAGTAAACTGTATAAAAATAGGATCACTCCGTGGTTTCCTTCACACCTGAACTGGAAAAAGAAACCAGGGATCACAGGGAAGAAATTATGGCCAGTAAATCATGTTTAATTAAAACAATTAATCTGCTTCAATACAGCCTTAGGTGAGTGTGTTGAGCCAGATGAGTAAGGTGTTATTCCAGGAAGATTTTATAACTAATTTTGTTGAATAGGATCAGGTAAAAAAAGAAACTTCCAGTTATTGGCTAAATGGGTTTTGTACATTTTTTCCCCCAGATTTTTGCTGAGGTTGCAAGGAATCACATCTTGTATTTCAGTGAAATACAAAATGCTGTCCCATTTACCCAGTGTTTGTGGGATGAGAGAGCTGGAATAGTGGCTAAAGTCCCAGGGATTTTAGTGGGAGCAGGATCTCTTCCCAAAGGAAGATCCATGAACTTTACTGTATGTTAACACCATATCCTGCTGATGGTGGCACTTGCCCTCAAAAGGTCTGATTTGAATGGGAAATAAGATGTAATTAAGCAAGAAAATAACTTGGATAGAGCAAATATCCCCACTTACACAGTTTACGTGGTGGGAGATGAACTCCTGAGCTGCAGCTTTCTCCGAGAACTCAAAGAGCCAGATCTGTCGGGGAAGGTGGTGTAAAGGAGATGTGAATTATATAAAAAAGCTGAGCTTTTGAATCCTGTGGTTCCTTTAGCCAAGTGAAAGAACAGTGCAGGGGTCTGCTCTGCCCTTTGCCCAGCCCCGGGGTCTGGCTCTGTCGGGGAGTTGGGAGCAGTTTCACACTAACTGGATTCTTGTTTTTGGGGGAGGAGGAAGATCGGCCTTTGATGGAGGGGAGCAGCAGCTCCTGCCGTGACGTGGGTGTGTCTTGGGCTGCGGTGGGACCTGGGTCTGGGGAGCTCACCACTTTGGTGCCCCATAAGTGAGGGAGCAGGTTTAGGAGATCCTACATTTCAGGCCAAGGGTGTCTTTAAGGAAGGCTCTGTTGGCAGCAGGCGTTTCTGTACTCACTCTGTCCGTGAAGGCGTCTGCTCTGCAGCCTGCGCGTGGCATCGTGGTGCCAGCTGTGGTGGTGAGGCAGACGACGGCTCTGCCACCTCCTCCTGCTGCCCACAGGGTCTCTGCCAGGGCCACGGCCAGTGCCTGCCCCTGTTCCCGCTGCCCGATCCGGCACAGCCTGTGCCGGGAACACCGGGGGCTGTGACACACCGGGGGCTGTGACACACCGGGGGCTGTGACACGCCGGGGACTGTGACACACCGGGGGCTGTGACACACCGGGGGCTGTGACACGCCGGGGACTGTGACACACCGGGGGGGGGGGGCGTGTGCCACCATCCCAAACCACAGGATTTGGTGGGAAGAAGCCTTGCCCAGGGGTCAGCCAAGGCTTCTCCCCTGGAACAAATCCCCGCCTGAAGCTGCACACCTGAACCTGGGTCTGGTTTGGCTGAACCCAGAAGCTGGTCTGCCTGAGTCCAAAGAAGGCAAGGAAATAATTCCCATGTGTCCCATGGGAAGGCTCAGCATCTTACCTGTCCAGGTGAGTATATTCTGTGTCTCTTGTGAAGAGCAGGTATGTGATGATGTGTGCTTGTACAGCCATCAGAACAGCTCTCGTTCCCCCCTAGGGACAGAAAGACAAATCCCCCTGTGTGAGGAGCAGATGCCATTCCCAGCAGTCCCTGGCCAGTAGGAAAACAGGAAGCCCTCATGGAGAGGAAGCTGTGGGGTGGCCCTGGCTGTGTGTTGGGGACAGCAGGGGTCCCATGGGTGCCCTCCCTCCTTCCCTCCCTCCCTCGAAGTGCTCGGCCCCAGGGAATGTCACCCAGCTCCAGACACCATGTGTGCTTGGAAGCCCCACAGTTTGTTTTTTCTCCCCTCTAGTCTCACAGCAAAGGGTCAAGTGTCCCGAGGCAGCCTGGGGCTGATGGGAGGCTGTGCATGGGGGTGCCTGTGGCTGCTCCCTGCCATGCTCAGGGTCAGGGCTGTGGTACCTCCTGGGAGCAGAGAGCCTTGGAATGCAGGGAGTGGTGCCTGTGGTTGTACCCAGCGTTTCAGCCTCCAGGTGATTTAGGGGATTTACAATTTGAGTGTTTATCTTGGGCTTCTGCTTTTTTGGGTGCAGTGTTGTGATGATAAATAAGGAAGAAGAAAAAACCCTCACTCCTTCGGTAAATGACAGTGTAGGTGACTTCACCTGTTGGATGTCTAGGTGGAGCAGGAAGAATTAGGTAAGTCTAATTCTCAGAAAAGAAACAGGAAAGTCTTGCTGCTTTGTGCATCCTGCTGCCTCTCCTGAGCCCTCCCGTGTGAACCTCTCACAGAAGGGTATCACAGCCTGTCCTGCAGCCAGCTGCTGGCTCCAGGCCGTCCAGCCTTGGGCCAAAGGCTCCCCTGTGAGGGCAGCTGTGGCTGTGAGGGGGCTGTGGCTGCAGCCCCTGCACCCAGCCCGGTGGGGAACACTGGGCCTGGCAGGTGGGCAGGGCATGGGCACAGGGGTGTCAGGGCAGGAGTGTCGAGACAGGGGTGTGGGGTGCAGGGGTGTGGGGTGCAGATGTGTGGGGGGCAGGGATGTGGGGGCAGGAGTGGGTGCTGCTGAGGCTCCTAGCACTGGCTGCTGTCTCCTGTGCGTCTGAGACAGGGAGGAGCCGGTGCCAGTTGCTGTGTGACACTTTACCTTTCCTGCCTGCAGCGCGTAGGCCAGGTCAGAGTGTGGCTGGCGGAACCTGAAGTGTGCTGCTGCCCACTCGCAGCTGAACAGGGGGGTTGTGTTCCCAAACAGCAGCTTCTGCAGCCCCTGCCGAGGAAGAGCCAGAGGGGGGGTCAGGTCCCAGCATGGGGGATGACCTGTAAGGTCAGGAGGTCTCGGGGTGCAGGTGGGGTGAGCTCACAGCACTGTCACACTGTCAGACCTCACAACTTCAGAGCAAAGGGGATGTTTGGGCTCAGTCAGGGACTTCATTCAGTACTCAGCCACTCCAGTGAAGCTCAGTCACAGTGTGTAATAACCTCTGTCTGGGTACAGTGCACTTTTTGGGGAAGGCCTGCACTGCTATCACCCACAGAACCTCCGAGCTGCTGGACAGCGGCACCGGCAGCAGCGCCCTCAGGCACTCGACAGGAGCTGGAATCACTCACTGATGGTGTAAAAAGCCTTTTTCAACCCAAACGATTCTATGATTCCGTGATCCTGACTCCCATCTGAGGCTGTTTGTCAGGGAGGCCCCAAAGTGCAGGTAAACATTTCCCCTGTCATTTGACTGGTTCTCTCAAGAGAATAACTGCGGATCAGCTTTAAGGTTGTGTTGCAGCCATGTTCGTTAAGAGTCTCATAAATAATGCATCCCCATCCCATGCCCTGTTCAGGGGACAGCAGGCTGAAGCCCGCAGCCGCCCGAACGCCGGGAAAGGCTCCCGGGACTTTCTCTTCAGGAGATTCAATTACAGCTCATGCTTAATTCAGCAGGCAGGCAGCTCACCATCGCCGTGTCCGGGGAGAGGGGGCGGCCGCCCGTGCCCGGAGGGAGCAGGAGGGGTTGGGGGACGGTAGAGGGGGGCTGCGGCCCCGGGGGCTCCCCAGCTCCGGGGGATCCATCGCCAGCTCTGCCCCGGCCTCGCTGCAAGGAGAGGAGCAGACGGCGCATCACGCCAGGGCTGCTGCTCTCATGCACCCGACGTTCCCTCCTAATATTCCCAGGGGTGGGCACAGTGCCCGGCCGTGGGCTGGCGGCGGGGAGGGGAGACACACGTGCTGCCCTGGAACATGGGTGCCCTTGACTTCCAGCTGTTTTCGGGCATTCCCAACACATCCCTACCAGCTAGTGACTGGAGCAGGGAGTAACACTGTGAATTACAGAGAATACCCTTCAGTGCCTCCCAACCTAAGGGCGCAGCAAGTTTTCCAAATACTTGCATTTTGGAGATGTTAGCTTGTTATCCTTTTTCCTGTGTTCTAAAACTGACTGTGGAAACCACTAATTTTAGACAGAAAGGTTAGTTTGTGTTGGACTGCTCTGCCCCTTTGATTTAGATCAGGGAGACTTTCTTTCAGAATACCTGAAGAATACGCCTGTTTCTCAAAGGAGCAGCATGAAAAATGATTCTTCACAGAGACCTGGGCTGCAGGTATGGATGTGTGACCTCCTCAATGTGCCAACCCGATGGGACAACCCAAAACCCACCAGACAAACACCAAATGTTACCTTTGGAAAAGAGTTACCTGATGAATTGTATTGTTGATTTCCAAGCTGAAAAGGTAAATAAAACACAATTTAAAAACCCCAACAGAGGCATTGCTGGCATATGGAGAAACCGGAGTCCATTCAGAAGACAACCCCGGAACAAAGGAAGAGTAAGAGCTGTAGCACTTGTATTATGGAGTACACAAAGACCTTTTGTCATTGGCACATAAATTTTGTAATAAAACATAACTTTAAAAATTACATTAAATAACCACCTGGAATTAAAAACGTGATAAAAAAGTAGGATAAAAATCTTACCCGCGGAAACTAAAGATTTCTCTCCATTTGTTCAGATCAGAGATTCTGCTGACGATCTCCTCCAGCTCCGTCGACGCGGCGTGTTCAGCCCCCCTGTCACCCATCGCAGCCTCCTGCTCAGCCCCCCTGTCACCCATCGCAGCCTCCTGCTCAGCCCCCCTGTCACCCATCGCAGCCTCCTGCTCAGCCCCCCTGTCACCCATCGCAGCCGCCGCGCTCCGGGCGATGCTGCGGGCGATGCTGAGGGATGGGAGCACTGACGCTGCTGGGGGGCGGCTCCCTGACCCCCCCACCGAGCGGCACCGACCCCCCCGCCCGTCCCCCCGTGACTGAAGCGTGGGCAGAGCCCGTGGGGCCCGCGCCGCCCCGCGCTGTGCCCGCAGCATCGGTGTTGGATGCCGGGAGAGCCGGGGGATGCCGGGGCTGCTCGGGGGGCTGCCTGCGGGCGGCGGCAGGAGCGGGGGGCAGGAGGGTGGGGATTTTCCAGCATGGAGCAGGAGACGCGGTGTTTTCCAAAGCGGGGCGGGAGCGGGGCTATTTTCCAGTGTGGGGCGGGAGCAGGGGCACTTTCATGGATGACGGGGGCCCGGGGTCCCTGCTGGAGTTCCCCCAGGGTTCGTGCTGGGCGGCCGTGCCTCTGTCACTTCTGCCGGTCAAACACACAAATACTGTCACAATTTTATTTTGCTCGTAAGAAGTGTTTTTCCTTAGGAACTGGATATGAAGGCAAACAAGAGCCGTGCTGATGCTCGGGAGCGGGGCGGGGACGGTGGAGCGGGGCTGAGTGACCCCGGTGAGGACACCCGGACCCCGGGGCGGGGCTGCTCTTGCCTGCACAGCAAAGGGAGGGGTTTGGGTTTGCTGTGTAGTAAACAATCCCATGAGATGCAATACAAATTATATATTAAGAACATACATTACCATTAGGGAGAATATGCATATGGATTAAGAAGAAAACTATGAAAAAATGTTGGTGTCGTGGTGACTTGCAGCAGCCCTTACACATTGTCAAAATCCGTGGAGAAGCAGGGGCAGAGCTGCCTTGGGAAAGTGTTTGGGTAGCAGGGATGCAGCTGACAAACCTCTACAGAACCCAGTAGTGTTTTGCCATTCACTGTAGAAGTACGAAAAAAGGCATCGAAGTGAGTGAGGCCTCGTTGGCTGGTAGTGCCCGAAGTGCAGAGGGCTCAGATATCTGGTAACTGGGCCCGTTTTGAACCCGGGGGATGGATGGACGCGGGGTGGGATCCCTCCTCACCTGCAGCCAGGCGGGATTGCTCCTCACGCACAGCTGGGCACAGCCCCCGCAGATAAATGGGTGGCTGGGGCAGGGGCTGTCTCCCTGTGTTTGCTCTGAGTGCCGTTTCTGTGTCGTGTGAGGAGCAGCTCGTCCCCAAGGCACTCAGGTAATCCCGTGCGGGTAGTCTTTGCTCCCGGCTCAGCCTGTCGGCAGCTGAGCTGGCTCTGCTGTCCCTGCGGGAGGGTCTGTTGTTTTAAGTGACCTGAGGATGTCTCAGGGTGTGAGGGCTGCTGTGGCTGTCTGTTCTGGCTTCCTGCACCAGACCTTGCCGTGTTCCTTCCTTAGTCCCTGCTGAGCTGCAGTGTGCCAGGGAGCCTGTCTGTTGTGTTGTTGCTGCCCTTTCCAAGGGTTCTGGCTTGGTTTGTTGTTATTTGATAAGAGTTTGCAAGGCTGCTCTCCAGGCAGGGCTGCTCTCCGGGCAGGGCTCTTGGGAGCTCTGGGAGGGGGCAATGGGAGGTGAAGGTGCCTGGGCTCACTCCCTAAGTGCCTTTTGCCTGAAGAACTGCAGAGGGGTTGTTAGGCAGTGCCAAGCCCGGCTGCCTCCCTGAGGCAAGCAGGATCATGCAGCACATTCCCCGAGTGCTGCTCTGCTGTGACAGCTTTGTCACCGAGCTGCAGCGACCGAGGGGTAACAGGAGCTCCTGGGACTTTGGGCTCAGAGCACGGTTCGGTTTGTTAAAACTAAAATCCCAAAAGAGAGCTTTATGGAGAGAAACAGTGTTGTTGCTGTGCATTTGGTGCCAGGTCAGAGTGCTGGTGGTGGGTGCAGGTGTTTGGGTGTTACCCCCACGCACTCGCTGTAGCTCCTGTTCCTGCCGAGCACTGTGTGTGGGAGCTGGAGCCCGAGGGGTGTCAGGGCAGAGCCCGGGCCTTGTCCTGTCCCTTGCTGGGTGTCTGAGTTTGCTGCGTGTCCTCATTCCCTGGCGTGGTCACAGCTGTGTCCTCGCTTCCACCAGGGCTGAAGGGCAAAGCTGCTGCTGGTGAGTGTGGGTCTCTACTGCAAACCATCTATTGGACTTTCCAGATCCTGTGCAATGCTACTGAGACTTCTAGTTTTCCTCATACCAGCTACTTTTCAGATAGTTTACTGGAAAAAAGGCAAATGTCTTAATAAGGCCTTACCCCAAGAAAGAGGGCATTTCCATCCAGACATTACCATTCAGCATGTCTTCTTTTGTTCACTGCATACACCATAGTGATGCTTATTTGAAATCTTCTCTTTTGTTTTACCTTCTTCAGAGCTAATTGTTTGCAAGTTGGTACATCTGGTGGTTGTTGCTGTAGTAGTGACAAATCTCTTTGCTAGAGTGCCTGACTCTCACCTCTGCGACCCGGGTTCGATTCCCGGCCCCCTGGGCAGGTGGAGCTCGTCAGCCTTGATAGGCAATCCACCTAAGAGAAGGTCACTCTAAAACAAACCTACATCCTGGGGACCTCACTGCCACTGTCCAAGCTTTGCTCGGCCCCGGCAGATGAACCTCAGGACTAAAGGGTGGGCTCAGTTCAGCGCACGCTGTGTCTCACCTAAAAATCCACTGCGCAGGCTGGAAGGGTTAATGACCTTTCCCAAAAAAAATCTTCGCTCGCGAAGACTGGCCATTATTTATTATTAATACATCAGGTCAACTGCTCCTGTGATCCTCCCTGAATCTTTTGATTTTGAAAAGGGAAATTCAAACCCAGCAAATCGGATTAGCAGGGCATTGAGGAAGTGCACCAGGGAGCAAACCAGGATGGTCCAGAAGGAATTTGCAAACTGTTCACTGTGAGTCTTGAATGTAAAGGTTCTCTCCTTGAAATTAGCAATCTTCTCTGAAAGGTGATGGATCTTCACCTCCGAGGAGAAGAGAATCATGATGAGGCAACCACAGGAACCTGAAAGGGAGGGGAACATGCTCGTCACCTTGGCAACCCCTCAGTCATGCTCTGTGTGTGTGTGTCTGTGTGCCACAGCCAAAGACCACATGCAGAGTGTTCTTATGGCCACTGTAACTTAGCTTTAACAGGGATTATTTTTGGAATCCAAGCCAATGGCTATTGAAATTGGTAAGCTTTTCTAATTGAATTAGGCTCAGGACCAGCAATATTGAACAGGGCTGCTTTAGTGCCCCAAGCCAGCAAAATATCTGTGCTCGTGTTCAGCTTTAAGCCACTCATTGTCCTGTTGAGCATAACGGAGCTGTCTGCATGTCTAAAGATAAAGACATACCCAAGTCCTTTATTAAGTTATGATTGCAACATATAATACCTTGTAAAGTCAGGGTAAACCTACTTGTCAGCCAAGCCAGCAGCCTGGAGAGTGGGTGTTCCCCTCCCTGTGTGGCAGAGGGACAGGGATGCTCTGTTATCCCTGTGTGGCAGAGGGACAGGGATGCTCTGTTATCCCTGTGTGGCAGAGGGACAGGGATGCTCTGTTATCCCTGTGTGGCAGAGGGACAGGGATGCTCTGTTATCCCTGGTGGCAGTGGCTCTCAGAGACCACCCTCACAGCAAGCTGCTGCCAGCCCATCCCTCTCTGCTGCTCAGCCCTTCAGTCCTTGGCAAGGCCGTGCTGCTCTAAGGGGTGACCTCACTTACACTGTCAGGAACCCTCCTGTTGTGGGAGCAGTTGCACCACTGACATCTTTTGGTTGTTTTTCACCTGGTTCCTGGTTATGACTGTGTGTTGTGTCGGTGATGTAGCACCATCTCTGTGTCCTTGGGGCTTGTGCACCTTTCTGCAGCAGCTTGACTGTCCCCATCCTGCCACCTGCCCTTGGGGGGGTTTCCCCATTGTAGCTCTTAACTCTAATTTAGAGAACATGTGATTTTACACAGCAGAGTCCCTCGCCTTCCTGCCTGCCTTGACTTTGCTGGTTTAGAGTCAATGCAGCCACAGTCCTTAACCCTCCTATGTCAACAGATGGGTCACTGTGAGTAGCAAATTCAGAGCAGAGTCAGCCTGGCAGGACAGGGCTGCTGATACTCACAGGCAATGAAGCTCCAGAGGTACAGCCCGACAGGACCATGCAGTGTTTCGTAGGGGCTGCCAAAAGCATTGAACATGAAGAACCCTGCTCCCACCAGAGCAAAGATGATCAGTACTGTACAGAAGAGAATGACACTAACATGGATACTTGCAGGGATAATTTTGAGCAAATCTGGAAAAACTGGAAACAAAACAACAACATTATTATGTACATTAGACAAAGTTGTCTCTGAAATCAGGCTGGGGGGGTTCCTGCTGGTTTGTGGTAGTTGTTTTAATCCTGCTCTTCTAAATGCAACCAAAGAAGTTATTAACTAGAAACGGGTTTTCATGGATGTGTTGAGGCAGAAATATTCTGTGAAACTCAGAAGCAGAGACTGGTCAGGAAAGAAAGATCCAGGGGAAGCCTCTCCTCCCCTTCCTGGAGGTGGTATTTTGTCCTTAATGTGAACAGGATATTTTGGGGAAAAAGAGTGGGAATCCATATCTGTGGAGGCAGGTCTGCCTTGTGAGGTGGCCTGAAGGGCTCTCACTCCCCAGTATTATGGGCTTGGCCACCACCTCCTCTTTGGGGATGGGACAAAATAAATCCAGAAACAAACATCCCGTTTTCATTTATGCTTACAATGTCCCACGGAAGGATGTGACATTGGAAATGAATTTTTACTGTGATTATGAATGTACAAGTTCAGGAATAATTTATTTTAAATATTTTTATGCAGCTTTTTAGCTACTATTTCAAACTGTGATCCTGCTTGGCTAGGGCATAGGGGGATAGTCAGTCAGAGAGCACGAGAGAATGATTTTTAATCATTCCTGTTTGTTTGGCAACAAGTATTGTAGAAGGAACAGTGAAATACACTTTACTGCTCCTGATCCATGGAGGTAATAATGCCTCACATCAATTACTTCTCCTTGTAAAGCCTTTACCAGCAAACTGTTCCACAGCCGGAACCCCTCTGCTCTGGAGCCAGGCTGGGAGAGCTGGGGGGGTTCACCTGGAGAAGGCTCCAGGGAGACCTGAGAGCCCCTTCCGGGGCCTTCCTGTGCAGGTTTCCTACAAGGAATAGCATTAGTTCTGTGATACTACTGATGTTTGGGGAAAACACGCAGAACTGTGGATTTAATAATACAATTTTGTATTGTTTATTTTAAGAAAACAATTTATGGCATGGTATGGAATCCTTCCCATGGCACCTGCATGTAGAGCTGTTTGTCATTGAAATTTTATATGTGACATACCAGGAAAAATTAATTCTAGCAGCAATGTTGTCTTGAAAGGAAAACACTGTATGAACCTGTGTGTGGCAGCAACCTTTAGAAAATGAACTGCTGACCCAGAAACTGATGGGAATGAGCAGGAACAAATGGAGCAGAAGCTTTCCCCATCTGAACTGGGTTTGCTGGCAGAGCAAATTCATATTATAATTAAAAGAGATACAGTGGTCAGAGGGGAGCATTTAATGGGAACAAGCATGGAACTAAATCATTTAGCCTATTTTCTGATCTCCTCAGACATGCTTAAGTGCAGTGAGTGCATTTAGCTATGGCTATGTATTGTGTATGTTTGTCCTGCTTCCTGGAGTGCTCCTGCCGAGCTCCCGGAGCACTGATGCGATGGGATGGGGCTGCTCCAGCCCCAGGGAGTGGGATCAGCCTGTTGCACTGAGTGTTCTCTGAGGTGAAGGCTCCTGCCTCGGCTGCAGGTTGTCCCCTTCCAGCTGTCACTGAGTGAGCCCTGATGAGTGTCAGCTCCCGTGCTGCTGGTGGCTGGGCCAGCCCTGGGTCACAGCAGTCCCCCAATCCCTTGGGATTGGATAAACCTCTTTGAAAATTCACTCAGGGTGAAATGTCTGCATGCAGTGATGGCACACAAAGCGATTGAGGAGGAACTTCAGCTGTGTGAGCAGAGTAGTGATGGAATTTAGAGACAGCAAATCTTAACATAATATAAAATTAACTTGGTCACTGCTTTGGGAAACTGTTACGTAGTAAATAATTTCTGGTACCTAATCTGGTAGCCTTCCCTTGCATTCAATCACTGGCGTGAGCAATTTGCCAGTGCTGTTGTGGCAGAAGCTCATAAGCTGTCTGCTGTAGTAACTTCGGCTGACACATTGTGCACACAGCAATGGGCTGTTCCTTACCGCTTGTTCCACGTGCTGCTGGATACAAATGTCTCACTTGATCATTTTATTGATCTTATCCTTGAAGACAAATAGATTTTGAATGTAAAGCAAAGCCATTGCTAATGCTTTGACATTCTGCGTGTCAGGTACCCAGTCAGCCAGCCTCCCCCAGCCCTTCCAATTAGTGCCGCAGATTGAGAACTTCTGGGCTGCTTTGTTTCTCGAGAGCAGCCGGTGCCCCAGCTCGTTCATTAGATCCCTGCTGGTTTAGTTCATTCTTCTTGACAACACAGAGGGTGTAATGTTGACGCAGAAAAAGATGGCAGAGGTTAATTAAAACCCCAAAATATTCTTTCTTTCTAAAGTAACAGTATAAAATATTTTGAAATGTGGATATCTGTGTAACTGCAATGTAGATTCTTGAAGACATTAGCCAGGCTTTACTAGCATCAGAAAATAAGTTACTTGATTCTGAGGACCAGAGCACTGTAAGGGCAGCGTTGCTCTGGCACGTCCCGTGTTGCTGGGCTCGGTGTCCGAGCGAGGGGCCGTGCGGGGCAGCCCCGTCCCACCGCCCCGCTGTCAGCAGCGCGCTGTAAATAACCCAAACGCCATCGCTACTCACATGAGAACTGAAAGGGTCTCCCCCCGAGCCCGCACTGCCGCACACGCTGCCCGGAGAAGAGCCCGTACTGGATCTCGCCGATGAACTTGTGCAGCTCGGGGCCGGTGGCGTTGACGAGCAGCGCTCCCGTGGTGCAGAGGGTCGTGCCCCTCACCCAGAGCTGGGTGCCCACGGCCGCCGCCGTGCCCAGCGCGCAGGCGAGGCTCAGCACCCCGGCCGTGCAGAAGATCAGCCTCTTCTGCGGGGCTGGCATGGTGGCACCGGGCACCGCGGGGACGCGCCTGTGGCCGAGGCGGTGCCGAGCTCCTCAGCCGCGGTGCTGCAGAGCCCCGGGCACCCGGCCAGCCCTGCCCCGAGGGAGCCCCCGCGCCCGGCCAGCCCTGCCCTGAGAGCTGCAGCCTCCCCGGAGCCCCAGAGCCCAGCCACAGGCAGGCACTGACTGGAGAACGCTGTAAAGATTCTTTTTCCCCGTCCCCTTCCGTACAGCTTCGCGGAGAGTTTCAGTGCATCTCCTGTCACTTGATAGCGAGGGTTTAGGATGACTGATCTCTGTAATTTGATGAGTGCTCTGCTTGTCGCAGCCCCCGCGGGAGCGGGGGCTTCAGAGACAACTTCCCTGGTGCATCTGATTATCTGCTCTCCATAATGGAAGTTCTCAAAAGGTTTATTTTTCCAGGTTTTTTTCTAAAGCCAACTGTGCTGTTTTTTTTTTTGTGTGTGTTTTTTTTTTTTTTTTCTTCCCCCTCCTCTTTTGGGTATATTTCTCTTTTGCTGTTCCTGATGTATTACCCAGCCAGGAGGCCCCTCTGTAGTATCTGGTTGCTCTTCACACAAGCTAAATCATAGCATAACATAACCCATCCCTTGAAGTGTGGCTAACTTGGAGGCTTAGTGAGGGCCAGAGGCACTGTCTGCATCCATCTACTGACTGCCAGGGACTTCAGCAAACACAGGGTTTGGTTTTTTCTCAACCAGATCAACTTAGTGCTTTGTGTTTTTTGTTTTGTTCTTTTTTTTTTTTTTTTTAAGCTAATGCCTATTTAGAGGAATCAGACTTGTTAGTCCTTGCCTTTGCAAACACAGCTGCATGTGTGAAAGTAATTCAGTAACCAAAGATGTAGTAGAAGATGTGTTAACAAATATGAGACAGTGTAGGCCAGTACCATACTGGTATTGTATGACTATTGGTATTGTCTAGTTCAACCTCGGCTTTTAAAACGTGTGGTTTGCCTGTTCTTGTCTGTACTACATAAGCTCATTTGGAGAGTATGACTGTTAATTTTATTTAGACTTATTTGCAACCCACTGTCTAATCTTGTATTTCCAAAGAACCTTGTGTTTGTACTGTTTGGGAGATGTAGCACAAAGGGAGGATCTGGCACAAATACTAGGTAGAAAGGGGTAAAGTTCTCGTGCTTTCTTACTGTAAAGCTGATAGAGCAATGCACCCACCGCTCCAGCACCTGCGGAGAGGACAGCTCTGCTGAGCGGCGGGAAGGTGTTCTATGGAGCAGGGTCGGTCGCAGGCTGTAGTCGCGGCTGCAGCCCCGCCGGGAAGGTGGGCAGGTGTGGGACGTCCACTGACGCTGGAAAAGGGTGCCCTGACGCTTTCATGTTGTATTGCTTGTGTTTTGAAGATTCATTAATCAGAAACTGCACTTCTGTTGACATCGCGTCTCCTGCCCTGCTTGCCCCATCCGCTGGGATCAGTGGATCCACTCGGGTGGTACAGATGGGCCCCTGGGAGCATCCTTCGGGATGAGCAGCGTGCCCAGTGGCAGCTGGAAGGCCGGGGCCGGAGGGACTCAGCCAGGGCCAGCCGAGGCTGCAGCCCCCGGGGATGAGGTCACTGCTGCCGGAGCAGCACCGCGCGTCCCCACAGCCCTTCGGTAGCTCCGGGAGCGGGTCGGGATCCCTCAGCCCCCGGAACAGAGGGAGAATGCCCTAGCTCCTCCGCTCGGCCTCAGGGCGCTGAGGCTTCACCCGGGAAGTGGGGTCTCTGCTGCTCCCCCTCCCCGGCCGGGAGCTGCGGAGGGCGGCTCGGACTGGGACCGGGACCGGGCGCTGCTGCCGGGAGCCAGCGGCGGAACGTGCCCCCGGAGCGCGGGGACTGTGCGGGGCGGTGTGACGGGCGGGCGGTCGCCGCCTCGAGGAATGGGTTTCTCCGCTACAACGAAGATGCTAAAGATGGGGGAGGCGACAGGGTGCGGATGCCGCGTCCCTGCGGCTGCTCGGCCGCCCCGCTCCGCTCCCCGGGCGCTGCCCCAGCGCCTCGGCCCCGCCGGCCCGGGGGCAGCCGGGGGTCCCCCCGCAGCCGCCGAGCCCAGCCCAGCCCAGCCCCGGGGCGGTGGGGAGCGGCCCGGCCGGCACTTGGCGCGGGAGATGCGGAGCGGGTGGGCCGAGCCGCGCCGCCCCCGCCCGGCCCCGCAGCCCGCCCCCGGCGCGGGGTGAGCCGGGGGGCCGCCCACGCTGCTCCTGGCGCTCGGGGCCCGCGAACATGAGCGGTGATGGCCGCCTTCGGGCTCCTCAGCTATGAGCATCGCCCGCTCAAGCGCCCGCGCCTCGGGCCGCCCGACGTTTACCCGCAGGACCCGCGCCAGAAGGAGGTGAGACCGGCGGGACCCCCGGCCCGGCGCCTCCCCCCAAACTTTTGAGCGGCGCCTGCGGCCGCCGAGCCGCCGCTGACTTGCATTTTCTGCGGCGAGGCGGGGGCGGCCGCCCCGCTCACCGCCCCCGGTCCCCGCTCACCGCCCCCGGTCCCCGCTCACCGCCCCCGGTCCCCGCTCACCGCCCCCGGTCCCCGCATCGCTGCCGCGGCACCGGGCTCGCCTCTGGGGCGGCGGGGAGGGTGTCGGAGCCGTGGCAGTGAGGGGCACCTCTGGCCCGTGAGGGGTACCGGCATCTGCATGGGAGGCACCCTCTGCCCGTGAAGGGCATCCCTGGCCCGGAGGGAGGGGGGTGCTGGTGGCCAGAGCGAGCGTGGTCCTGCTGAGCTGCCCACCATGTGTCTGACCTAACAGCAGTGACCCACCGTCAGAGGAATAAAAGGGCTGGAGGGTGTTGGAGGTCGGGAAATGCATCTGAAAACAGGGTGGAGGTGAGTGGGGCTGTAGGTTGTCCTCTTCCATGAGGCTGTGGCTGTCCTGCTCATGGGTACCACAGCCAAACCCACGGAGACCTGCTGTCACTGGAGCTGGGGCAAGCGTGTAGCTCAGGTGGGTGCTGTGATGTGGCTTGCTGATCCAGCAAAGCCCCACAGGGCACTGTTCTCAGCTTGGCTTCCCAGTCTTGCTTCCCAGCCGCTTACCCTCCACAGGGGGGTGGAAGGAGCCTCTGGGAAGGTTTTGTGAGTGGGATGTCTCCCAGTAAAGTCAGTGGGTCTCTCTGAGATCGGCCTTGCGTGTTGTGTTGTGGCTTGTACGCAAAGCTGCGTGTGCAGGTACCCCTGACCTCTGGAGTCTCCTGTGCTGGTGTTCCTGGCTGCCTCGTCTCCCAGTGCATTTGGTACTCGTGGAAGTCGTTAGGCTGGCAGTGAGGATGAGCTCTGGTTAAATGGAGCAAGTACAGCAGGGCAGCCATGCAGCCCTCTTTGTGCTCCGCTCTCTCCCTGGTCTGTTGTCGTGTTGATGAAGCTTCCAGCATGGAGGCTAATTAGCGTAATTTGTTAGCGGTTTATGAGCATCATCATCTGGTTTACATAGGCTGGAGAGCGCTCATCAAAGCCACACTGTTGGTCAGGGCTGGCTGAGAGGGGCTTGGACAACAGGCAGTAGAAGATGTGGATTCAAGTCTGTTGCTGATCCTTGGAGACATACCTCAGTGTTTGTGACCTCTGGCACCTTTCTGTCTCATCACTCTTGTGCCACCATGCATCATACTTACAACCTTGATGGTAATAGTAACTGGAAATATTCCTCTAAGTGTAATTTCCTTGCGTGATCCTGGCCAGGCTTGCAGAACTGCATCTGGACTCAGCTATGACAATGTCTGGAGGTGAATTTTTAGCTCTGAACTGTTGAATATTTTTTGTCAGGTGGTGGATTGATTCTTGCAGACACGTTAATAAATATGCAGCCCATTACAATAAGAATGGAAGTGGCAAGTGCCCAAATGGTTAATATTTAAAATAGGTTTCATGGGTGCATTAATAAGCAGAAAATAACTGCAGTAGGCTTACTGTTGTTGGCCATGGTGGGATTGATTGAGATGTAGCTTGGGGGAAAGTCTTCATTGCACCTGTGTTGTTGAGTTCAATGTGGACTTCTTTTACTGTTCTATTCTGAAAGAATATTTTTGAGGTTGGGAAGAAAAGGCACATCTGTCAGAGATTCAGGTAGTGGTGGTATAACTCTGCACATTGTCTGTTTGCGCAGCTCAGATGTCAGAATGAACTGGCCAGTTCCCAGTTTTTCAGAACCTTGACACATCCTCAGCTCCCTGCCTTTATCTCAGTGGCCTGGTGCTGCAGTGAGCAAGTGTTACTGCAGACATGGGGAAGCAGGAGAATACTTCAGTTGAAAGAGCTTGTTCGTATTAATTAAAAGCAAATGAATATGGAATTATACAATCCAGAACACCCAACAATAACACCATGGTGCTCTGTTCTAACACTGTGCCCATTTCTTCTCATGTGGATCTGAGTGCACTGATGCAGCTGGCTGGGTAAGTGCCACAGGTGACCTCCTTGTAAGTGCCATAGGTGTCCTGCTCAGAGCTAAGGACCACGAGCAGGCTGCCATCAGGGTCTGCTGCTTGTGGAGCTGGCACTGCTCAGCTCCTGGGAACTTTGTCCTGAGCTTGTCGGGCTGCCCTTCTCTACAGATCCCATCTGTACGTGTTGTGTTCACACCAGGCTGTGTGTGGGGCTTGCATATCCCCCATAAAACAAGTAAAATTCTTTCTGAAAAAATTAATGCAAGTTGGGCCTGAATGTTCACTTGGCTGTTGAAAATTGCAGAAGGGTTTTAAGCCTTGACTGGGGGCACCTGGGGCCCTGCTTGACATTTGTAAAGGCAGCTCCTGGTCCGTGCAGGAGCCCGAGGAAGCAGTGTGTGTGACAGCAGCGTGTGGTGCTGCTGTGCCTCTGCTTAGCACAGGGCCAAGTCAAGTGTGCTTGACCCTCGTAGGATCAGTGTGTACAGCTGAGCTGTGCCAGTGTTCCTGCTGCTGTGCCAGGAGCTTCCCCTCTGCCATGAAACAGCCGTGGTCTGCAGAATGATCCTGAGCTGATACTGGAGCTGGTGCGAGTGAGATGTAACGAGAGCTCCTGCGAACACCCATTTTATCATTAATTTCTTTGTAAAGGTGTCTCTGTGCCTTGTGTTCGAAGGGGACTTGTCTTCATTTTCAGGTGATGCTTGGTTACACAGCTGTGCCATGCCCCAAGTTCTGCTGCTGAAGCAGTAGGGGAAACCTGAGCTGGTGACTGAGCCAGACAAACCAAACACTGATGTGTTTGTGTTGTCAACCCCTCACAACTTGTTCCCACAGTGGTGGTAGATGCAGCAGCACAACAGACTGTTCTTGGTTATTTTCAGCATAATGCTATCTAGACAGCTTGTTTGAAAGAGGAAGTTTAAAGATAACAGAATGAGGGTCAGCCCTGGAAATGGCACTAATAGTAACATATGTCTCCATCTGTTTGCCATTTACCTTTTATTTATTTGCTTATAATCTCTTTGATCACTTTCAGCTCTCCCTGAGTCTGTGTTTTCAGGGCTGGCTGGGGGATAGTGTGGGTGGAGGAGCGTTCCAGCAATTCTGGTTGATTTCATTTAAATTTAAGATGAGGTTTGCTAAGTTCAAAAATCCTGGAGAGCTTAGAGTTCTTCTAAATATGTTTCAATCTACTGTGTTGCTCTCAAACTTTGGAAAAATACTGAAAAGCATAATGCATGGCAAAGCATAAGAGAAGAAACCAAATGGAAGCTTCTGGGTCACTGTTTTTGGGGAGACATGTTGCCCAAAACTAGGAATAAAATCTTCTAGTAAAATGGTGATATTCTTAACTTTATTTTCTGTTCTTTGCTTGGTCTCAGCACAGTCAGTCTTTGCTTTTGTAGGTTATTTCACAGCCATCTCATGGGTTGTTCCAATAGCTCACTATTGGTGGAGCACCTGAGCTTGTGTAGGGTTCCTGTGGTTACTGCCTGTGGTGACAGGTAACTGCTTCCTTGGGGAGATCTGTGTCTTCTCTTCAGGGGGAGATCAAGAAAATCCAACAAGTTCCCATTCATCTGGTGTAGGAAAACCTCTGTCTGACAGGCAGGTAATCCTGAATTATTGAATAAATGGCACAGCCTCCATGGAAAAATATTAACTTTGGTGGAGGTATAGAGTGAAGACAGGGAAGGATGGGGCTCCCCGAGGAAGTCTGTGAAGACTTGGGTGTGTGTTTGTGCCTAATGCTGCTGATCCTACACCTGCCTGTTCTGTGTCCCTGCTGTGAACAGACCCAGCCAAGCCTGCTGAAGCATCAATCAGCAGCAAAACAAAGGGGAGTTGATAGTGTGGTAGGAGACTAGTAATGCTTCCACTGCAGAAGTAGCTCCAGAAGAAAAGGGTTTAGTTGCAGCAGGGGTGGATGTTCAGCTGACATTGCTTTAGCTACAGGTGATCTCGTTCCTATTTCAGTAGATGTTTTCAAATGGGGGTTATGGGTCCGCAAACCAGAATAGTAATGTTTTAAACATCAACAAAACAATGATACAAACCTGTTTTTGTGCTGGGGAATGGACTTGTGGATTCTGGGTGAAAGAAGGGGCACACAGCAGCGTTCTGCTGTGGAGTGACACAGCTGCTTCCCAGGGTATCTCAGGAGAGAAAGGTGTGCTGCTCTCCCACTGCTGCTCAGGGGGCTGTGGACTGGCACCACTTCCATGAGGAAGATTTCAGGCTGGATGCTGGGGGCTGCTCCAGGTTTTACAGAGGCTGCCAAGGTCTTGTTTCCTGGGCCCTTCTCCTGGGCAGAAATCTGTCAGCAAAACCAGCAGCACCCATGAAGTGATGGCCTCAAGCCTCACCTCAAGTGAGGTGAACACCCAAGGGGGACAGTGTGGCAGCAGTGGCATCACGTTCTCTTCACCAAAACCCTGGGAGTGTGCAGAGCATGATGTACCAGCAAATGCAAAACATTTCCTTATAAAAACATGCTTTTCAGAATAATGAGACTTCTTAAATTGTCGTTTCATCTTTTGCACTTCCACCACTCTTTGCAGGATGAGCTCACGGCAGTGAACGTAAAGCAAGGCTTCAGCAACCAGCCCACCTTCCCTGGAGATGAGCATGGGTCTGCCAGGAATATTGCCATCAACGCCTCAAAGGTAAGACAGGGCTTTGCAGTCTGGGGGCACTTGCTGAAACTGGAGCCAAGCTGGCAGTGGTGGTACCTGGGTCTTGAATGCTTGGCTTTCTAGTCAGAAATCTTGATATGAAAGTTAATTACACAATGAATATCAGAATGCTGAGCTGTGCTTCTGCTGCCTGCTGCCATCAGTCTTCACAGGAAAACATGGATGCCAAGGACAAAATGTAATAAGCACATTTCAATGCACAAGAGACATTAATTTTTGCTCTTATTCTTTTATTTGCTTGGCTTACAGAGACAGTAGTGACTCCTTCCCTGGAAGTCTCTGACAATTACACACCTTTAGCTCTGTCTTGTATCTGTTTCACAAGACTGTTTTCTGCCAGGAGAAACTGGTCACTGTGTTCCAGGTCTCTTGGAAATATAGACTAGAATTGTTTAGTGAAATTTAGCTTAGTTCTTTTTGAGAGTCAAAGAAGTGTGAGATACACAAGAGCAATAAAAATCACTAAAATATTAGTTACTATACTCCAAACTGAAAATAATAGCTGTTTAGAAAGAAACCGTCCCGTATTTCCTCTAGAGATCTGTCCAGATTTATGTACTTTTTTTTTTTTTTTTTCCCTTTTGGGAAAGCAGGAAGAAAGGGTTTGGAGGGAGAATGTAATCAAGAAACTTGTTTTCAGACAAAGTAATTTTCTGGTATTTGATTCTGAAAAATCTCTTAACTTTTTACAGCTTATTGGAAAACATGAAATTATGTATTTAGTGATGCTCTTTTAGTAGAAGAAGAGATGCAAGTAAATGACAGGGTTGCTGGCTTTGAAATTTTTAAGGTTTTCCTGTTACATTCTTCAGAGTCTTTTTTTTTTTTTTCCCTCAAATATTTACCTGCTGGCATTTTCTATCTTCTATATTAATTATTTTTGGTTTTACTATCAAATAGAACTGTTTGAAAAGTAGAACAGAAATTCACAAGAAAGTGCTTATAGGTCCTTGGATATTTAAGTGTACAATTACCAAAACAAGTTCAGTATCTCCCAGAAGCTTCCTGTATATTTTAAAATTACCCAGGTATGAATATATTTATTAGAAAATCAAGCATTTTATTCTGACTGACAGGCCTAAACATTCATTCATATTGTAGTCATTCTGAAAGTGAATAAGCTTACAATGGGAGTAAAACCTCTGGGTTTTTTTTCATGCTGTTTTGTGATTGAGAGTACTGGGAAAGCAAACCTTGCAAAGCTTTTCCTTGTGGAGGTGCTGAGTGGCAGTGGAGGTCTTTGGATAAAAGTTGGACACTTCTGAGCTTCCCTGAGTCTCTGAAGCTTTGCCTGCTGTAGCTGGTGATGGACAGACAGTGGATGTGGTTCCTGTGACAGTGTGGTTTGATCTAAATAGAAGTGAAAAGTGTGCATTTACCCACTTTGTGCTCTGGTAAAGGGCAGAAGGGCAGAAACGTGCTCTGAGAGTCCACTGACCCGGGGCCTGGATCCCAGGCACGTGTTGGCTGGAGGCACGTGGCTCTGGGCACGCAGGGACTGTCCCAAGGGGCAGCTCAGCCCTGGTGTCACTGAGCCCTGGGCCCTTTGGCTGGTTTTCTGACCTGCAGCCTCTCCAGTGACAATGCAGTTGTGTGCTTTGATCTCCTGAACCTGCCTTTGCTCCCTGCAGGGAGGCAAAGCGTGATCCCATCAGACTGCTGGCCTGCCCTGGAGTGAGCACTGCATCCCTTCAGCTGGAAATCCTCCTGCATTAATGTACAGTAGATACTTAATTACTGCCTTGTCACCTGTTTTGCTTTCCCACACCCCCAGATCGGCGCTGACTTCAGCAGCATCCTCGCAGAAAAGCTCAAACTGAACACTTTGCAGGACACGGGGAAGAAGAAACCCCAAGTAAATGCCAAAGACAACTACTGGCTGGTGACTGCTCGGTCCCAGAGTGCCATTCACAGCTGGTTCACAGATTTGGCAGGAAGCAAGCCCCTGACTCTCTTAGGAAAAAAGGTATCAGAATACTCCTTCCTCTGTTTCTTGGATATTAGATTGTGCTGAATTGGGCTGTAAGAACAGGGCAGTATTTTGGAATGTGCTGGAGGAGCTGCTGCTGTGCAGCATTTCCCCTCTCTGCAAGGAGGGGACCTGGGCAAGGGGAACTTCTGATCTAGCTGACATAAACTTCCTTTGAATAACTATTTCATCTCAGGCATGTTTATCTTACTGAACCCTTACACAAAGCCTTGCTATAGCTCTGTTCCTCAGAGGTTCTGAGGATCAGCTCACAGGATGGTTCCTGCACTTTGGATGTCAATGGCTCTCAGAGGTTTGCTTGTGGCCCTGTAGGCATCTCTGAGCAGGGGGAGGGTGCTCCTGATGAAGCCTGGGGTACTGTGGGGCAGTGTCTCTTTTTTGTGAATCCCTTAGTTGCCATGTGCCTGGACAGTGGGTGTTGTTGGTGCAGCGGGTTCCTGGGCTGAGGAGGTTTGCTGTTCTGGCTGTGCAGGGTTGAGCAGAGGAGGCCTGGGCTGATCTGCCAGCTGCTGTTGGACTGTGTGCTGTAACTTGCTGCCTGTTTTCCCTCCAGGTTCCTATTCTCAGTAAAAAAGAAGATGTTTTTGCTTACTTAGCAAAATACTCTGTGCCACTGCTGCGAGCAGCATGGCTGATCAAAATGACATGTGCCTACTATGCTGCTATTTCTGAAGCTAAAATCAAGAAACGCCAGGCCACTGACCCAAATATTGGTAAATAAACTTCTTTAATGTCTCCATGCATGATAACAGCTCCTCTTGTTTGTAGCTTTGGTATTACTGGGTGTCCAGAGAGGAATGTTTGTGGTGGGAACTGAAATAAAAATGCTTTTAAATCAGTTTCATTTAGAAATGTGTGTCAGAGTACAAAGAGCCATGGAGCATAACTACAGCTGTGTTGGCTGCTTCTGCTTCCAGCTGTTTGCTCCCAAAATGTCCAGGTGCAGCACCTGAGGAGCGTTAGCTGTGCTGTATTTCAGCACCCACACTGGTCACTGTGGGGCTGGCAGGAGTGGCACAGGCTGTGCAAGATAAATGTTGCCTGGGAAGGAACAGAACTGCTCATTTAGAAAGCCTGTAATGAAATGTGAATTTCAAAGCTTATTTATTAGAACACAGCTGGCAATGTATTTATTTTAAGTACCACCCTTAAGGGACACTGTCTGGCACCAAACCAGTGGGCCAGGCAGTGACCACCTTTAAGGTGTTCAGAGGTACTTCAACTATTATCAGAGTTGTAGTTTTACTCTCACAATTTGCACGCAATACCTACAACTCCTCTGCTGACGCGAATGAACATTTTCCTTCTTTGTCCTTGAAACGACTGTGTTTGGAACTGACCCTGTCAGTGCTGTTTAGCTGCATCTCTGCACTGCTGGGAGGAATGTCTGCTTCTTCCTGCTGACTCCTGATGGGAGGGGGGTAAGGACCAGGTGGGGGAAGCAAAGGCTGTCCATTCTGTTGTGATAAATCAATCTATACCTATTTAGCTCTGGTGGGAACAGCAGCTCTCTAAAGGGAATTTGTTTCCCGGGGAGGTTCCAGGTGGCTGTGTGTGTGTGTCTGGGGTTGGCAGCTGCTCCTGCCCTGGCACCTCCTCACAGCCAGCGGGGCCAGGAGGTGTCTGTGGGCTCAGGGGCTTTCCCAGCCTGTGTCCATCCTCTGTCCAAATTCCCTGTTCTGCAAAGGTTGTTGAGAACTTTGTGGGAAGTAGTTTGCTGTGTGTTACTGAGCAGCCTTTGGCAGTTCCCAGAGTATTTTATATCTGTGCCTCTGGTACCAGAAAGGTGGTTGCATTGTTTCCAACTCAGTGGCACAGAGACACTGGTAATTGCTTTTTGTATTTCAAATGAAATACATTTGAAGTAGTGGATTTGATTTTTTTTTTTCCTAGAAGCAAGTGAATGTTTAATGGAAATGTAGTTAAACTGCTCTGTGAAAACACTGAACCCCACTAGCTTTATCCAGAAATTCCAGTGGATTTGGGTAGAAAAGCTTCCAATGTATAGTCTGTATATGTTGACAGAGCTGCCAATTACAAATGTAAAAGGAAAAAAAAAGGAATGCACTAGCCAGAGTCTGAGGTGAGCAGTGAACAGTGAAAACAGTTGTGTTTGAGAGTGGTGGTTCCTGTTACTGACAGTCACCAGCCCCAGTTGTCAAAGCAACTGTGTTATGGAGGCAGAAAAGAGGCTGCTCTTGTGTAACCTTCTGCTCCTGATACACACAGCTCTGCCAGGGGGTTGTCTCTGAGATGTTCACAGATACCTTGGGTTGTTCCAGTTGCTGCTGAGAGAATTCCTTTGTTACGAGTCCTCTTTTCCTTTCTCACTGTGCTGTGCAGACCTGCTCTGTCCTGCTGCAGAAACTGCTTCTGAGTTGCTGCAGCCCCATCAGAGTGAAAACCTGGAAGAGTTGGCAGTTTGGTTATAGAAGGAATAGCTTTATATTCCACTGCTTGTGCAAAATCCCATTGAGTTTTATGTTGGCTCTATTTGGAGGGGAAGAGGGAGGGCAGTGAAGTTCCAGATGGAAGTAGTGCAGTATATTTGTTTCATCTATTTCCAGGCTGTTTTGTGGCTGAATGCTGAAACCTGATGAGACTGACAGGTGGTTCCCCAAAGGCCCCCCTGTGTCATGCAGGCTGCTTGCACACCTGAGAGCACCTGTGCTCTGAGGGCAGGGGCTCAGGGAGACAGCCTTGAATTCACCACAGGTGCAGCACTATGCACCTCGGGGGGAACATTTGTGATGACAAAGAGAGTGCAACTTTGCTTTGGGTCCCACTGTGAAAGGAACCTTTTATCACTTGGAGTGTTCTAATTGCAAGCTTATTTTGTAGAATGGACTCAAATTGTAACCAAATACCTCCGAGAGCAGCTGGCAAAGGTTGCTGAGTTCTATCATGGGACTTTGAGCCAAGGCAACGGCTCTGTTGTGATGCCTCCAGAGATGGAACAAGCCCTGAAGCACTGGGAATACAATGAAAAATTGTCATTTTATATGTTTCAGGTAATACTTTTAGGAGTGCGTGGATTTTTTTTTTTTTAAGGTTACTATTCTTGGAAAGTTCAATTTTAGGACTCAGTGGTAGCTTTTGTCATGAGTCTTGCATAAATTGTAAATGCTAATTCCTTTTAGAGATTTGCTGGTTGAAAAAGCTCTGATTTTTCTCAGTGTGCCTGATTGCAATTGCAGTAGTGCACTCAGTTATTCCCTCTTCTGTATTATCCCATCTTTTTAAGGGTGTTTTTAGTGGTTGTGGATCAGGCTGAGGCCGCTGTGGCACGAGGCCTTGGGTCTTGGAGTGGTGTCTGTCTGTGGGTTCCACGCAGTTCCAGCCCAGCAGAACTCTCTGGTTGTTTCTGCCCCAGCACAGAAGATGCAGGAGGGTTGCTGGGAGGGGGTTACCTGTTGGGGTTACCTGTTGGGGTTACCTGTCGGGGTTACCTGTCAGCTGCCTGCTGAGCTGGGGCTGTGCAGAGCAGGGGGCTGTACCCAGGTGCTGCCCTGCCTGTGGCACTGCCATGGGGGTGGTTGGCTCCGGGGCTGTAGCAGGTTGAGGGAATTGGTGTCTCTGTGCTGACAGGGGTAACGAGGGCTAAACCACAGTGAAATAAACTGTGGGATTACACCCCTGTGTGTTGAGTGCTCCCAGCTAACGTGATGTGTTATTGGAAATCCTTTAAGGAAGGAATGCTCGAGAGACACGAGTATTTGACGTGGATACTGGATGTTTTAGAAAAAGTCAGGCCCACGGATGATGATCTTCTGAAGCTGTTGTTGCCGCTGATGTTGCAGGTACATGCGTGTTTTAAAGCCAAAATCAATGTCAGCGTGATTCATACCTGTTCAATGGTTTTTAAATTTGTGGTGGTAAAATCTACTTAAACATTTTTACTTAGGACATTTGACAAAATATATTGAATGGTGCATGTTTGGAGTTTATAAACACCTTTAAGATGTTCGTGCTTTATAATCCTTGACTCGATTTGGCAGAAGGATTCTCTTACTGTGACTGGTCCTGGAGGGCAGATGGAATTTTTAAGAGACAGAAGTACAAATTTGCACATGACCTGCTCTTTTCTTTTATAACTTTTGGCGTCCTAAATATTGGAGGTGTTTCTTTCCAGTTTGTGCATGTCCACTGTTAGATTGTTAAGGAAAATGGATATATGGAGTGTAATAAACTGTGCATTTTTTTAAATTTCAGTATTCAGAAGAGTTTGTTCAGTCAGCTTACCTGTCCCGTCGCCTGGCTTATTTCTGTGCCAGACGCCTGTCCTTGTTGCTCAGTGATGGGCCCAGCCCTGTAGCTGCCCACTCCCCTCATCTGATCCCTGGACCAAGTACCCCTGCCCTGGCCGTGCCCAGCCCGAGCACCCCTGGCCCCGGGGTGGGGCTGGCACAGCTGCCCTGCTCCGACCTCCTGGCCTGCCCCCAGCACCGTGCCCTGGTGTATGGGCTCAGCTGTGTGCTGCAGGTAGGACAGTGCTCTGCTGCTCTTTGCTTTCAGGGGTGTAACCATTTTGCTTGTTGGAGAACACTGGGGTTTGAGTGGGACAAGGTGTGCTTGCTGTGGTTTGAAGTGTGCCTGTGCCCACTGAGGGGTGTGGGGGCAGCGGGATGGGGGGACTCTCTGCTGAGGTCCGATGGAGGAACCACCTGGAGAAGCTCGTGGAGCCAAATGTGTGTCTGCACCTCTGCTGAGGGAAGGAGCTGCTCCCCTGCCGGGGATGGCCAGGCCTTCCCTCTGGGATGGAGGGTTTCTGCTCTGTGCATCTCATCCTGTTCTTGTCACCTGTGAACCCACGTGGTCCTGCCACCCCCTGTGCCTGCTGAGCGTGGCTGGGCAGAGGCAGCACTGACTCCTGTGAGCTCTGACCTACGAGGAGGTCAGAGCTGCTTTCAGCCCGTCCCTTGGTGCCACTGCAGGCCACCGTGGCTGCAATGCCAAAGTAGTCTGTCTGGTAGTTCCAGGGTTTCTGTGTCAGCATTTCCACACACTGGAATCTGGACATTTCAATGACTCCTTCGTGCTTTAATTAAAATCAACTCTTAGTCAAGACTTTAATCTCTTAAATTTTAATTTTTCATTTAATTTTCTAGCTTCTTTCTGTAAGGTGAAGACCAAATGACTTATTTTTTTGTGAAGTCCCTTCATATTCCACAGAGAGGATCTGGCTGAAACTAACCTTTGTTGATGTTCTTTGATGGTGTTATGAAAGCAATACAAATGGGAATTGAACATGTGTATAATTAAGTAATTTTTTTAATAACAAAGGAGGAAAATAAAACAGTAGTTGAATTTCCTCAAATGTAGTTGTGCATAAGCCTGTCTTGTTTCTTTCACTGTAGCAGTTGGACCAAAAAGGATTCTGGACTCTTATTGTTGTTTTTGTCTATTACATGTGTTTAGAAAAAGGAATTACTTCTGTTTTGTACTATTGCTTGCAGACTGTAACTCTTTGTTGCCCAAGTGCCTTGGTGTGGAATTATTCCACAAATGAAAATAAGAACGTTAATCCAGGCTCACCTCTGGATTTACTTCAAGTCGCTCCATCCAGTTTACCTATGCCAGGTGGAAATTCGGCATTTAATCAGCAGGTAAGCTCTTTTTCTTGCCAGATTATTAAGGTCTGGTTTATATCCCAGCAATGATTTGTAGTCATTAGGACTGCAGCCAAGTTTGGATATTTCCATAGGCCTATTGTCAAGGCAAGTGCTGTGCTGATGTTTGATCTTCATTCTGGGACTGATTTTGGGAAAGTGTCAGGACTTTTATTTATGTTCCAATGTTTTCTGTTATTAAACTGAAATTATTTTAAGATGTAATATGAAAAATAAGAGAAAGCTTGATGTATTTTTTGGGAGATGTGACTTGAGACATGTTGAAAGTTAAGTTTTGCTGGGTGGAATGGAAGGAAGAGATGTTTTATTGTACAAGATGATTCTTAGCAGACAAGACGATTTGAAAAGAACCTTCTTCAGTTTGTTGTTCCCAAATGTAGGGGGTGTTGTGGGACACCGTAGGGTCCCTTGCCCCTGCTGAGAAGGCTGGCACAGGCATGACATGAACGTTGACCCTTCCCCCCAGCAGCTGATGAGGAGCTCTACTCATTGCAGGTTCGGGCAAAGGTTTATGAAGTGGAACAGCAGATAAAGCAGAGAGGCCGTGCTGTGGAGGTGAGGTGGTCGTTTGACAAGTGCCAAGAGTCAACTGCAGGTGAGAGAACTCCAAACAAGCGCTGGGAGCTTTAGGGTTTACGGATGTTCTTCCTTGGGTCTAATCCTGTTGCACTGTGATTAATCCCAGCAATAGATTGGCAGGTGAATGTAATGCCGTGTCTTCTAATGTGAACCTTTTTGTTTTCCCCTCCTCTCTGACTCCTGTCTCCAGGGGTGACCATCAGCCGGGTCCTGCACACCTTGGAAGTGTTGGATCGGCATTGTTTTGACAGGTCAGATTCCAGCAATTCCATGGAGACACTTTATCATAAGATCTTCTGGGCAAATCAGAGTAAGGATAACCAAGAGGTAATGGCTGCAATCTTCTCTCAGTTTGTAATCTATAAACCATTTTTATTTATGTGAATTGTGTGTGTGTATTTGATAGATATTTTGTTGGTATATTTTTTTTCTTTACAGCTGACAGTTGGTTTATTAGGAGACAACAGCTCTTTGCTGTTGTAATTGTATTCTTCAGTGTACTGCAAACCTCATTCAGGAGAAATGATCTAGACAGGTTTGTTTTTTTGGGTGATGCCAAGTAAAATTGCAGATCGCTTGATGACAACTTTTGCATATATTGTAGCAAGTGCTAACTTACTAGGTTATTAATATAGAAAAATATTCTAAAACTACATATTCTTGGGATTTTTGATATTTTTGCCCGTGCTCCTAAAACCATTTCCAGCGATCATGAAATTTAATCAGAAATCTTTAGCATTTTTAAATCCTTTTTGTGTGTGCACAGTGCAGATGATAATATTACTGGGTCTATGTATAATGTCAAACTCCTGAATTTCCTTGGGAAATGTTTTGGAAAAAGAAGAAATATCTGACTTCAATAATACACTGTTGGAGTAAAATTTGAAAGTGGGAAATACAAGTGGATCTGTCATAGCTGCTTATGTTAATACTTTAAAAATTTGAGTGCAGAGTGGCTTGTTTTGTGGCTCCACCTGTGTTTTGTTGGTGGCTGTGAGCTCAGCCATTGATGGTCAGGGTTCAGGACCCTCTTTGCACAGACATTCTGTGTCATAACTGCCAATCAGCACTTTAATGGCTTTACATTAAACAAACAGAATGTAGTGCTGGGGGAATGACAGCGCTGGAAGCATCTCCAGAGAGACACACCTGGCAACAAACTGGGGCTCAGAGCAGGTAGGAAGGAGTAGAACAGTTGCCAGAGTTTTCTTTGTGTTTCCAATACACTTTTCTGGTATTGAGAGAGAAATGGAGGAAGGAGAACTGTAACAGCAGGCAGGACAAGTCCCTAAAAGTTCTTAACCCTCGAATGCCCAGGTGCCATCAGGAGTTCAGCACACAGGTGTGCTGTGTTTTTGAACAGGTAGGGTGTGATATTCTCTATCCTTTGGGTGCTGGCTTTTTGTATTCATTTGCTTTTGGAGTTGAATGATGTGGTTCTGTGCTGTTGCAGGTGTATTTGTATCTTTTTTTTCATTCTTCCTGTCTGTATTCCAGAAGTTTTCCTGACTTCCAGCTACAATTGTAGTAATAGACTTTCTTAGTGTTTCAAAAGGCAGTGTTGATAGGGAGACTTCTGAAAGTTATTATTCTGTTCTCACTGCAGGTTGTCTGCCATTATTGCCTTTGTTTTATGGTACCTCATGATTTGAAGTTGGGTTGCCTTGAAAACATGCTGCTTTGGTTGCTAGAGAGCTCTTCAAGCCGTGCTCCCCAGTTTGGAGTACCAGACATTTTTATGAAGGTCTGTCCGGTTCATTTGCAGGGCATCCTCTGACTGCATCTTTATCACACTTTGCCCTGAGGGGAAGAATGCCGGGTGGGAATAAAGCACTGTTGGAGGTGAGGTCAGTGTTTGCACAGCAGGCACAAGAGATATAAGAGAGGGCAGAAGCAAAGAAGCTGCTGACTTCTTTCTGAGAGAAAACTTAGCTTTGAAAGTTTCAGCCTTACCTTACTGCGTTTGGAGCTGATAAGAAATTAGCCGTGCCCGTCCCGGCCCGGGGGCCGTGCCCGTCCCGGCCCGGGGGCCGTGCCCGTCCCGGCCCGGGGGCCGTGCCCGTCCCGGCCCGGGGGCCGTGCCCGTCCCGGCCCGGGGGCCGCCTGCCCGTCCCGCCCGGCCGCGCCCGTCCCGGCCCGGGGGCCGCGCCCGTCCCGGCCCGGGGGCCGCGCCCGTCCCGGCCCGGGGGCCGCGCCCGTCCCGGCCCGGGGGCCGCGCCCGTCCCGGACCGGGGGCCGCGCCCGTCCCGGACCGGGGGCCGCGCCCGTCCCGGACCGGGGGCCGCGCCCGTCCCGGACCGGGGGCCGTGCCCGTCCCGGACCGGGGGCCGTGCCCGTCCCGGACCGGGGGCCGTGCCCAGGCTGCCGAGCCGCTCCGTGGCCGCTGGATGTCGACGCTCGCCCGCACCCACCGCGCTCCGGTCTCGGCACTGCGGGGATGTCACCACGTGCAACGCTGTTTGTCTTTTTTTGCCTCTTTTTCCTTCCCAGTTAATAAGCTCCTGCTTTTCCTTGGCAGAAGAGGCCATAAGTCACGAAGCTGTGTACACTGTGTTTAGCTGGCACATCATGTAAGCCTAGAAGAATTTTGATTTTGTAAATAGCATGTCCATCACTAGGATGTCTGCCTACTGACATAATTGTTTAAAGCACAATGTTTTTTGAAGGACAGCTATCTGCTGCTCATGCTTTGCTGTGAACCCAGCCGGAACTTGTTTGGAACCTGTTTCCTGTCCATTTTTCCTGTTGGAGTGCAAAACCTTGTCCTGAAGGCTGCAAATGATGCCAGAGGCAACTGGCATCAGTGTATGAGGCTGGCACTCCAAGGCACTGGCACGTGCTGGAAGGGAGAGAAGGTGGCTTCTGCTACAAAATACTTGGGTTCTGACAGAGACTGAAAAAAGACACATGTTCTCTGGATGCTGTTTGCATACACAGTACTGATTCCTTTGAAATTGTTTTAATATAGAACTCGTGACTTCCAAGCCTCAGAGCAAAAGTAGGACTTGGGGGAAGGGGCTGAAATGAGGGAGGGTGGGTGGGTAGACAGGGTAGCTGCAAGGCCAGTTGTCCTGGGCCTGCAGGGGCAGGAGCTGCTTTTCATCCCATGGCAAGATGCAGAGGAATGGTGCTGAAGGCTGGAATCTGATAACATTAGTGAGAGAACATGAGAGAGCAGGACAGAAAAAAATGTGGAGTGAGGGGCTGAGCTGTGGCCATATGTTGGGTTTTGGTAGGACTGTAGGGCAGGTGGGTGGCAGGCATGGAACAGAGCTCAGGTTTTGGGCATGATGTGGCATGTGACAGAGGTGACACAGTGAAAGCTGTGTGAGAAAGTGGAGTGCTAAGCCCACGCTTTGAGCAGACCTGAAACAAACCCTCCATCCTTGACTTAGAGAGAGACCATGGAAGTGGGAGGAGAATCCAATGCTTTTCCAGTAACTTGAAGAGACTCAGCATGGAGGAGCACTGACTGCATTATTAAATGCTACATTACTCAGCAGTCTGTAAACAGGAGATAGGAATTGTGCTGCTGTTTCTCACTGACTGTCCCTGTGTCTCAGGAGTGATGGTTCCTGTGTAGTCCCATAGGAATATCTTCATCTGAGCCCTAATCATGGATCACACGTGGTTTAGTGGTGGACCTGGCAGTGCTGGGTTAATGGTTTAACCTGAGGATCTTAAAGGTCTTTCCCAACCTGAATGACTCTGTGTTTCTCTCCCAGCCTGGCTCTTGTGTGGCAGGTTTCTGTACAGGCACGGGGCTCTCATCACATTGTGTGCAACCCAAAACCCAGCACTTAGTGCAGCTGACAGATGCTCAGCTCTCTATCCATGAAGTTCCAAGTCATAATAGCAGTTTTTGTGTTGTTCTGGTGGGAAAGTCTGATGGCCCATAAAGATGTCACATCACAATGATTATGGGAAGAGTGGTGCTGCCTGGTGAGCGTGGCCATGTGCAGTGAGCAACGAAAGGACCTCTCATCTCTACTTCTCTTTGCTGACTTGTTTAGAATCTACGATGTGACATAAACCAGTAAATTCACTTTCATTTGAGATGGGATTGCAGAGAAAACTACTGACCTTTTTTCTGACCACAGGTATTTTCCATCTGACATTTCCTTGACTCAGCTCATCTCTTGTGCACAGCTGCAGAATGATTTTCACTGTGGTGGTTATTGTGGAGGTGTAAATGCAGTAAACAGTCTGTATTGCTACTATACAGCTTTAAATTGGAGTAAAAGTGTATTACACTTATCCAGACTTGGAGCACCCGGGAATCCTCTGCAGCCCCTCTGAGAGATGAGTCCCCTGAGGGCAGGAGTTGATTTGGGCAGAAACAAAATCTTTGGCAGGGTGAGCTGGAGGATGCAATAGTGACCTTGTGATGTCTGTGACAACTCGTCTGTGAGTCACTTACCTTCCTGGGGTTTAAACCCAGTCAACTTTCACCTGACATTTGAACTACCTGAATTTTATTATCTGTCATTGTCTGTCACAGATACCACTAAGGAAGGGAACTGAGAAAGGATTGGTTTTTTCACCTCCTTATTTGTTTTAGTTTGGAATGGTTGGTAAGACTTTTTAATTTGTCAGTCTCCTGTGTAGCAAAATACAATTTGTTTAGGTATAACTTGCAATACACCTCAACAGTTGGGGGCATACTTGGTAAATGCAACTTGGTACCAGGATTTTCTAGCCAGTGTGCAGTAGTGAATGGAGGGAAGGAGTGAGTGCTTGATTTTTAAGGCCTAATGTTGAATTTCTTGAAATCACTATGTAGAATCCTGAAACTCTATGGATATTTTTGCACTTGGGTTGCTTTTAAAGTTTAGGGCTCTATAGTTGTATTTAGGTCTTGCTTCTCATGTTGTCTTTGAAGTTCAGCTGAATTCTTATGATGCCAAGAGATGCTTTTCATTTTAGAATGAAAAACTCCTGTTTTGAATGCGGTTCTCACGAATGGAGCTTGTGACAAATGCAGAGAGTTGATATTTGTCTTTCTGAGATCACTTTGCTGGAAATGAAACAAACAAAATCCCCCACCCCGCTGTGGGAAAGAAGCTCTGGCAGGCCCTGGAGTCCCAGAGCTTGGATTTAACATTTGTGACTATGTGAGGGACCCAAATCTGAATGTGTTGGGCTGCACGACAGGAAAGAGAGACAAGATGAGCAAAATAATATCTGCAGAATGAGAGTTTGTTTTCCCAAGCACTGAGAAAATAGAGCACATTCTGAGTGGTCTTGTAATAGTTTTAATAACGAAATTAGCATTGGTTCAGTTGCTCGAATTGCTTAGTTACCTGTGTGGGTATTTTCATCCTTTATTATTTCAGTAGAGCCAACAACAGATTCTTGCTCATCTTAGTGTCTAAGGGAGTTAAAGTACAAAATCTCTCTGGAAGGGAAAAACTTATTCTGTGACCGAAATAACTGATGGGGTCCTTAAGAGGAACACAGCTTGCCTTTTGTGTTTATATGGGACCATTTCAAAGCAGGGGTTAATGTTTTGTTGAACATGGTCTCATCCTTGAGAGAAATGTGGAAGTTGTGCTCCAGTACCAGGGTTTCTCTTTGGGCTGGTGTCAGGGCTCCTCTGTACGTGCCTCTGTACTTGCCCACCTGCCTGATGCCCTGGGCCCTCCTGGGCTGCAGTCAGGGGTGGTTCATATCCCCTCTTTCACTCTGCACTGCTTGGGGCAGTGTGTTTAGTTGATTTTAAACCCCCAAACACTTGAGAACAGTTTATCCATAAGCAGTACACACTGAGAGCTCCGGTGTGGTGGGGATACGCAGATGTGTTTCCAAAGGGAATGAGCTGGCCTATCTCCAAACCCATCAGGAGCAGAAATGTTTAATACCATCCTTTTAATACTTTCTTTTGTTATTGTATAGCTTTTTTTAAAACATCCAAACCAAGGCTTTTCTATGTCACCCATCTTCTCCTCCAGTTATAAGCTGGTAGAAATGAGGCCTTTGGTTTTCTCTAAAAGGCTCTGACTGGGGCTTTCAAAAGCTTATGGCTATTTTGGATCATGGCTAAATGGCAAACGTTGGGAGTGAGTTATCTAAACTTCAAGTCTTACTTCAAAGGTGTGTGTGCTGCATGCTGTAGATAACTTCTCCCATTTGATGCCACCTCAAAGTGTTTTTGTCACATTCTACTTGTGGAAGGTTTGAGAATCTTGAGGAACAGTCTTGTCTGTGGGAGAGTTTCCTGCCACCCCAGAGCTGCAGTTCCTGTCTGCCCACACCTGCTCCAGCACCTTGTGTACTGGCTTTCCTACAAAATGTACTCATTAAGTAACATGTGAACTGATCTTTTTGTTTTCTTGCCCCTGAAATTTTTGGGGTAGAAATATGACCTTACTATGTGTCAAACCCAGAGCCTGGTTGCTCGATGCACTCTGTGTGACTGAGCACAGTGTCGGGAGGGAGGAGGCCCTGAGGTGCAGCTGTTGGGGCACAGGAAGCTGTGTGGGTCCACATTTTGTTAGTTCAAAAGCAAAATAACATATTTGATGGTCAGACCCCTCAGCTTTACCTGTCTCAGCTGCTGCAGGACCCTGTGCTCCAAGAGTCCAGTGTGTGGGAATGACTCTGGGGATGCCAACTTGCCCAACAAAAGTCTGCATCAGCTTAGATCAGACTCTTGGGTGTTCTGCATTGTCTTCAGAAATCTGTAGCACCTCCAGTTCTGTGGGTAGTTGAGTGCATCTCACCACAGCAGAGGTGACGTCACTGTGTTTCTGCATTTGGGTAAGAGAAAAGCCTTTCCCTCCTCCCTCTGCTCCCCCCCAGTCGGGTAGAATTTCTTGCTCGCCATTGAAACGTATTTACAGGAAACCTCTCTGACGTGTGTACACAGCAGAGCAGCCTTGTTCCACACACCCTTGTGTTCTGGTTTCCTGAGGACAGCTGGGACAGCTTTGAAGAAGGAACTTTACTTGTGGGTCTGTAATTCCCAATCACTTTGAGAAAAGTGTTCATTTTTTGAGGGTGCTGTGCTTGGCTCTGGCCCTCGTGATGGTCACTGCTCAGTGTAGCTTCCACTGACCCTGAGAGAAGAAGAAAAATCACAACTCTTTAATTTGCAGGTTGGTATGTTGAAGTGTTCAGAGATGGTGACCAGCTTGGGAGGGATGGGCAAGTTCAGCAGAGCCATCTCAGGAGCACACAAGGCAAAAATACTTCCAAAGTGTGGGTGGTTAGTGAGAACAGAGATGGGATGAGCACTCACACTGCATCCCATTGTCCTGAACAGATGGGATTCAAAAGACATATGCTGTTTCTTAAAAATGTCAGAAAGAAACAGAGCTTTTTGGGAATTTTTTGACCTTGGTTATCTGACAGATAACGCCTTTAGACGTGGGAGGATGTTTTGTTTTGTTTGTTGTAATGTGTCAGTGGGATGCAAGTCACAATCTGGAAACAGATGGAGGAGGTCTGGAGGAATTAAAATAAGGAGCACGTAAATCCCTTGTGGTTAGTGGGCTGGGAGGCTCTGTGGGTGCACTGCTCCTGTTCCTCTTGCTCACACAGCACATCACCCTTCTCTGGTTTTGTGAACTTGATGATAAAGTGAAATTTTGATTTGAGTATCAGCAGTGTGAAAACTGGGATTTCCTTATGTGTCATGTGAAAACACTGTGAGTGAAGCAAATGTGTGCAAATGACAGCAAGTGTGTGCCTCTGTCAGTAGGGAAGACCAAGCTGCAGCTCGTTTGGGTTTTCCTGCTGCAGAGCTCTGGCTGTGCAGGCTGTTTGCTCCGAGCTCAGCCTGGGGGCTGCGTGGGTGAGCTGCTTTCTGTCTGTTCTGCCCTGCACAGGTTGCCCCAAACGACGAGGCCGTGGTGATGCTGCTCTGTGAGTGGGCTGTGAGCTGTAAGAGGTCCGGGAAGCACAGGGCCATGGCTGTGGCCAAGCTTCTGGAGAAGAGGCAAGCAGAGATTGAGGGAGAAGTAAGTTGTTTCTACTTGTAGCGTAGTGTGACAGTTTGCTTAAAGAGTAAGGTGTTTCTGAGGAAACCTCACTTTAATCTCATCTTGTTACAAAAGGAGTGAGTTTGGAGCACTGTTAATCTCTTCATCAATTAATATTTTTAAAATTCTAGACAAATTTAGAATTAAAAAGCCTTCTATTTAAAGTAAGTAACTTCAGCCTGATTCAGAATGGTCTATGGTAGCTGACTTATGTCTCTTTGAAGTCTCTCACTTCTGTGAACTACTTGTCTGACTAAAGGGGTGCCACAGGAACTGGAGTCCCCTTTTAGAGGGCTGTGGGTCTGGCAGGTGGGACAAGGCCATCAGCTGGAGCAGGGCAGTGTGTCCCTGTGGTGTGTCCCTGTGCACACAGCTCTACGTCCCTGGCACTGCTGGGAGCCGCTGCCTTGGCCTCAGGGCAGGGCCAGCTGGGTCTGCACCACACGGGGAGATTTTCCTGGCAAAAAGGGTCCCCAGCAGTGGTGTGTGATTGTGGTGTGTGTGACTGTCAGCCGGGTGTGGGGGGAGCGCTGGCAGCTGCTGAGGACACACGGACAGGATGTGCAGAGAGACTTTCCCTTTGCAGAACCTCTTTGCTTTGTCTGCTCTCATCACAAACCAGAGACTGGGGGAAGGGACCTGCATTGTTCCTGCCTCACTGCACCCAAATCCACCTCAAGCAGAGGGGTTTGCTCTGCTCATTGTTCAGTTTGGAATTTACACAGGGGAGAACTTTCCTTTTGTGTTCACAGTGTCCTGGAAGTTCTGTATCTTGAATTTTTGGTTTTCTGTGACAGTCGTTGCAGCTGATGGAATATGTCTCAGGCGTTCCTTTCCACTCAGTAAATACAAAGTGATTAAATAAAACACCTTAGAAATAACCAAACTGGGTAATGAGAAAAGCCTGTTGTTCTAGAGCGAGTCTGGAGTTTGTGCCGAGGTAGGAAACAGGCACACGTGTGGTGGCCTCAGATGCAAATGGGGGGAATATTGTGTGCATTTGGGTGCAGAGACATGCTTTTCTGTTTATTTAACTGTGCAGAGATGTGGTGAATCTGAAGTCCTAGATGAAAAGGAATCTCTGTCTTCAGCCTCCTTGACAAGTTCCAGTCTTCCTGTTTTCCAGAATGTCCTGCTAAGGTTTTTGGATACACAAGCTCCCTCGTTATGTGAGTATGAACTAATTTATATTCCAAAGTAGGTCAGAAGCAACTGCTCTTCTGCCTGGCTGCTGAAGTTACTGGTTTACTGTAGGGGGTGTCTCAGTTTCTGTGATTATCAGCTCATGTGCACACTTTTTAAATCTCTTATCTTGTTTCTTTTAAATCTCCTTGATCCTTGTTATAGGATCCTTCTATGATTTTTGATTTATTTTTTTTTCCCCAAAAAGGAAAATTAACAGAAACTGTGTTTATTTCTGTTTAAGCTGTTTGAGATTTGGGGAAATTACTTGCACTCTGTGCATATTTAACACCAAACACTTGTCTCTTTCTGACACATCCATGCTCTAAGTGACTGACTTAGAAATGACACTCAAGTGTTGCAGCTGAAAGCTGTTGGCTGACAGATAGTGGATTGAAAAAAGGGTCTTTGTTCATTGAGGGCTGCTCCATGACATGTCTTGGTCTGATAAAACTGATAGCATAGCTTGTGTTTCTGGCACCTCCAGTACTGCTGGTTAGGCAGATTTTAAGAGGTTTGAAACACAGCACTGAAAACTCTCAATGTCCGAAAAAGGAGAAATTTCTTAAAATGTGTTTCAGACTCAGAGATATTGGCAGTGCTCTGCTTTCATGCCAGTGATGACCCTGGTTTTAATAAACCAACCAACTATTTGTGTTACTAAGCCTTGTGTTTCTGCTGTGCTTCCTTCAGATGTGGTATTGTTCTCCTTGGCCCAGGGAGCTCTGAAAGGCAGGGGAAGGAGCTGGGGATGTTTCCTGTGTTTGAAATGTCCTTTGGTGTTTTGGAACACTGGACAAGTTTTGTGTTGTGTTGGTTTTGCAGTGGTTGAGCTCCCGAGTCTCCAAAAACGAAAAGCACATACCGGTATATTTTGAGGAGGGCAGCTCACCTGGGCTCAGGTGTGTGTTTTGGGATGCTCCACCAGCCCCACGCCTCATTCCTGAGGGGTGTTGGGGGGAGCAGGACCTGGGGCTGCAGGGGGGGGTCAGACCCCACTGCTCCTGGGCACACTGACAGCTGCTGTGCTGCAGCCCAGTGAGGGTGGCTGAACACACTGTTACATGCTGGGCTAATTTGAACTCCAGAGCATAATTTGCTTTTAAATAAATGGTGATAATTCAGGTTTGGTAGTTCTTTTGCTGCCCAATAGATTTGGCATGATATAAAGCTATTTTCTGTAAACCACACTGTTGCAAACCTTTCTGTGATAAAGAACAAGTCAAATTAAACAGAGCTGTGACAAATGAAAACTTAGTGACAACATTTTATATGTTGTACTTCTCTAGGCTTTGCTTAGTCCTGACAAAATAACATGCATTTATTTTAATTATTGTTTTCCTGACGTGCATGAGCATCTCTAATAGATAAACTACACTACACTGTCAAGCTTTAATGAAAATACTGCCTTTATATCTTGGAGGCCTGGCATGCAGATCCCGAGTTCTCTGCAAATATTTTATAGGATTTTCTGCTATAAATGCAAAAGTGCTGTAGGTAAGACAGCACTTGGGAGGAAAGGCCAGCTGTTTGAACAGTTCAAACCCAAAGACTTATAAGCTGAAACTACAGTTTAACTTCTGTTTTTTTTTCTTGTTTGTGTAGCTGACCCAAGCAGTGACCATGAGAAGACAGAGTTTGTGAATTTGGTGCTGCTTTTCTCGGAATTCACTCGGCATGATGTTTTCTCCCACGATGCCTACATGTGCACTTTAATATCTCGTGGGGACCTGTCCATCACTGCAGCTCCCAGACCACGCTCCCCTAATGGGGAAGCTGTAGATGAACATTATTCAAAGGATCATGATGTGAAACTGGAGGTAATGCTTTGTGCTGTTCCCATGTTTGTTATTGTGTTTCATTAAATGTGGGTTCTCAGCGAAGCATTAGTATTTCAGGTGTGAGATACTGGGGGTCTTTGTGTCTCCTTGTCTCTTCCTCTTTGAGAAAGCTGAAAAGGATCCCTTAACTTCATTGCTGTGTGTAACTGTAAATATTGCTGATTTGGTGCAGATGTATCAAACTAGCAGCTGTCTGATGATCTGAATAACTTGGGACAAACTGAAAGACACAGTTCTTAAAGAGGCACAGTGCTTGAGTTTGCTGTGACTTATACTTGTGTTTCTCCCTGGCAATTATTAGGGTCATGGTATTGTGGAACATACGGGCATTGACTCAGGAACCACTGGTATTTTTGATGATGTAGAAAAGAGTGACTTTAAGGCAGATTTCGGTTCAGAATTTCCAGTAGGTTTGCCTTTGATTTTCTGCATGCCTGCGATGCCTTTGCTGCCCGTGGCTGCTGTTGTGTTGCCACTGAACATCCCTCCATGCCCCAGCACCACCCTGCTCCTTCCCTCGGCAGCTGATGGCCTTTGGCATTGTCTCTGTGTCTGTCAGTGCCTCACCTCTGTTCTCTGCATTCTGCTGCTGCTGCCCTGTGCTGCCCTGCTCGTCCTCCTGCAGGCACAGACACCCCTGCTCTCCCCCCTGCCCCATCCCCAGTGTGCTGAGCACTGTGTGTTACAGTGAGGATGAAGAAATGTGCAGAGCTCCCCACTTGTTTGACATCAAGGACCCTCACTGATGCCATCTGCTTCTCCAAGGATGGTTCTATGTTTTGGCTCTGTTTTCAAATCTGTTTCCCCCTCATTTTCCTTTCTGTTCTGCATGACTCTCGAATCTCCTGTTTCTTCCTTTGGATTTCCCCTTGTTTTGCATGGACTGCCTAGACTTATCACTTGCAGGATATTGGGACCCTGTTTCTGCCTGATAATTGTCATGTTGGTGGTTTCAAGCACATCCATGCCTACCTACAGTGTCTTGTCACCTCCCACTTCCCCTGTCCCATTATTTTCCCTCAGTTGTTGGAACAGCTCATTGTGGTTTCTGTGTCACAGCAACATGAGGAGTGTGCAGATTGCTCCAGATCAGAATGCTTTTTCCCTGACTGAATATCTCTAGGTTAAAACTTGTCTAATAACCACAGAGATGTGCACAGGGATATAATATGTACGTTTATCTTAAATCTCAGGCTTGAATGCAACTGCCTTGCTTTGTCTGTCTTTGAAAAACCTCAGATATTTGACAAGTAGCTGCAAGCAAGAGCAAATCCTGTCTTTGTCTGCAGCTGCTGGATTTCAGAAGCTGGAGGTTACACTTACCTTACACCTTTGCTTTACATGTCTCAGATCTCTTCTCCGATGCCTGGGGAGTCTCGTCAGAGTGTGACCCCTTCCTTCGAGGGAAGGATCTCAGTCCCGAGCGACAAGTCAGCCAAGAGGGAGAGGCTGAGAGAGCTGATTGTGCCATCCAACTATCACCTCCTTCGGCACCTGCAGTACGCCACACACTTCCCCATCCCCCTGGTGAGTGACCAGTGACCTTCCCCATGCCCCTGGTGAGTGACCAGTGACCTTCCCCATCCCCTGGTGAGTGACCAGTGACCTTCCCCATCCCCCTGGTGAGTGACCAGTGACCTTCCCCATGCCCCTGGTGAGTGACCAGTGACCTTCCCCATGCCCCTGGTGAGTGACCAGTGACCTTCCCCATCCCCCTGGTGAGTGACCAGTGACCTTCCCCATCCCCCTGGTGAGTGACCAGTGACCTTCCCCATCCCCCTGGTGAGTGACCAGTGACCTTCCCCATCCCCCTGGTGAGTGACCAGTGACCTTCCCCATCCCCTGGTGAGTGACCAGTGACCTTCCCCATCCCCTGGTGAGTGACCAGTGACCTTCCCCATCCCCCGGTGAGTCACCTGTGCTCGTGTGTCGTGGTGCTGCCTGATGGGACGGCAGAGCATTTCCAGGGAGGGAGTGTGGTGGTCACTGGGGTGCAGGGACAGGCACCACAGTAGCCCACCATGACCCGGGCTCTAACAAAAGCTTGCTAAATAGAATGTTTTGGGCTGGAGTTGGGCAGATGGATGAACACCGAAATATCTGAAAGAAGTAGCTCTGAACTGTGTGACAGGAGATGTCTCTTCTTCCTGCCCACTTGGTGCTGCTTCCAGCGTGGATTTTTGGTTGCTGCTGCTGTGCTTGTCTGTAGGCTCATGAGAACTGGAGGAAGCCCCATGAGTAACACTCTAGATCCCAGCCCTCATGCAGATGGGTTCTCATGTTTTCCCCTGTGCTGGAAAAAGGCCCCAGACACTGAACAGGCCTCAAACTGGACTGTACCTACTTAAGAGTTATTATTATATTTAAACAATGACAACTTTTTAACAATATCAAGTCCTTTCAGTCCATGAAGCTTCATGTGAGAGTATCATGTGATAATTCCAGTTTTCTTTCCTTTAAATTTCTTAGCCCATAAAGTTTGGGTTGTGATTTATTGCAGGAGAATTGTTATGAAAATACTGAATGAACCATTTTGAATGCTTGCTTTGAGCAAAATACGAATCATGGGTTTTTTTGCTCAAGGATTAGGAAAAAGATAACTTGGTTTTGTTTCTGAAATAGTTTTGATTTGCAGATGGAGCTAATCTAAGTAGCTGGATTTTGCCAGTGCAAATTGATTTTTAAATTTTGATTATTGATTATTGTGCATATGCATAAGTTTTGGAAGTAAATATATATCAGAATATTAATAAACTTAGCTGCTGTTTTATAAATTTTTATGAACTGAAAACAAGCAAAAAGAACAAGCTGGATACTTATACTCTATCTTTGTTTTAAAACTTGCTAGAATTTTCTATAATAACATGTTAGGTTTTTTCCTATTCACTGAAGCAGCAGCAAGGAGAGGCAATGGAACTTGTTAAGAATAAGAAATTTATGTATAAAAACTGCAGGTATGATATAGGCAGATACAATAATTTTTAATCAGTGCAGTTTAAAATCCCTGTCTGGAGTAAATAATGCCCTCTGAAATGCTTTTGGGTTAATCATGTGTGTGAAAAAAACTTTGCAGCTGAAGAACTTCCGTTCAGTAATTTCTTCACTTTATTGCACCAAGTCATTTAATATAGTAAATACACAATATTTAACTTAGAAAAGGTGAGTTCAGGTGTTTGCCATAAATAATTCTGAAGTATGTTTGAGTCTGAACACGTATTGTTACACGTTGCTGATCCCTGGTGGGTCACCACTGCTCACTGAGCAGAGTGGAAGGCATCGCTGAAGGCTCTGTGAGCTCAGACCCCCTGTGTGAGTGTGGAACACAGCCATGGGCATTTATTGATCAAGTATTTTCCTTCTGCTCGGGCTCACGAATCGTCAGGAGCGTCGTTACCCGCGGTGTCTGCGCGCACAGTCACCCAACAGCTGTCACTGCTGCAGGTGGGCTCACTCTGTGCCCGTGTTTGAGAGCTGGGGAGGTGTACCTGCTGTTCACTGCTGCAGGTGGGCTCACTCTGTGCCCGTGTTTGAGAGCTGGGAAGGTGTACCTGCTGTTCACTGCTGCAGGTGGGCTCACTCTGTGCCCGTGTTTGAGAGCTGGGGAGGTGTACCTGCTGTTCACTGCTGTGCTGCAGCTCCACGTCTGTGAGCGCCTTTGTTTGCTTGGGGGCTGCAAACGCCTCTGTGAACTTCAGCCGGAAGGATTTGGAAAGGTGGTAATAGAGAATGGGGTCAAAGCAGAGGTTTGAGACTGCAAACAGCAGGGTGGACTCCTTGGCTTTGAAGAGGGCCCGCCTGAGGGGGCAGCTGGCCGTGGTGTCCCTCTGGCTCAGCGTGTAGGGGATGCGCACGGCGTGGTAGGGCACGAAGCAGAGCAGGTACCCGGCCGTCACCAGCAGGATGTGGGTCAGTGCCTTCCTCACGCTGCCGTAGCTCTCGCTGTACTTGTGGCGGTACAGTTGTCTGACGACGAGGAAATTGGAGATCAGGATCACGGCTGAGAAATTCAGGAATATCGCTGTGCATATGAAATTAGTGAACACGTGCCAGTCTCTCCCAAACTTCGTTTTGAAGTCGATGCATCCTGCGCCGGGTCTTTCCTCGATGTGTTGTATGGGAATAGCCATGTTAGGCACGGTTATGAGGAGAATCATGAGCCACACGACCACGGACAGCGTCTTGGCAAACCCCGGCTCCTGGATGCGGTAGATCTTAGAGCTGTGCATCAGCTGCAGGCAGCGATCCATGCTCACAAATCCCAAAAATATGATTGATAAATACATGTTCAGATAGATGAAACAGGCTGTAACTTGGCAGTGGAATATTCTCAGATTCCAGGATGCAATTCCTAGGTCAACAATAATCTTCATTGGCAAAGTCAAAGTTAACAGGAAATCTGCAGTGAGGAGGTTGATTAAGTAGATGCTCATAGGCTTGTGTTTCTGATGCTTCTGTGTGAATGCCCACAGTGCAAAAAAGCTTCCAATAATTCCCATAAGAAAAATCAAGTAGTAAAAATAGGTAAAAGGTTCCATGTCTTCATAGATATGGCATTCTGAAATATTGCTTGACATTGTAAACTCCTGTGTGAGTTGGCTTTGCTGACTCGAGGTATCAAGGACCTACGAAAAGAACCGAGAGGACATCAATGACATCTGCCTTTCCTAAGAGACAGTTGTCATTCTCTTAGAATTTTGCTTGATTAATTTCAAGGAAAAATGCAATTAGGAAGAAATATTTTTCTCGCTCTTCATGCTGCTTCCCAGATACTCAGGAGGGCTTTGTTCTCATGTTGGAAGACTTAGGAATATATTAGGATTTGTTCCTGAGCCTTCTGAGCAGCTTTTCCACTAGAGCAGCCTTTCTGGGAAGGTTTGGTTCGACACTTGCCCTCAGCCAAGGTGCCAGAGAAAAAGGTTTGAATCTATTTAAGCATCTAGTTAATAATGCTAAAACTTCATAACTTTTTTTTTTTAAGGATTGAAACTATGCCTATAAAAAAGTAATCTTTGTACCAGCCTTGTTCTATAAAAATGTGTTGGGAGTTCTGAGTGAGTGCACTGGCAGACCAATATGGGTATGTCTAATGGGTGAGCAAACGGTTCTGATCAGTCCTGAGGTTTGCACACTGCTCTCTCTTCCCACTTGAACAAATTAATTGTATGTTTTTATGAAACTTTTAGGAAAAGCACATTTTGAAAGAAGCAGATAATAAGTAATGTTGCTCACTACCTTTGTAGGCTTCACTAGAAATTAAAGGGAAGAAAAGGAAAAAATATTGGTCCTATTTCAACTAAATATATGACTCCATGACTGAGGGGCTTGTTTGATTGCTCCACTGCAGGCTGCTGCACAGAATGGCTGTGGGAAAAGCTGTTCCTTCGAATTTCTTGGAATGAAAACCAATACATTTATGTCTTGAGTAGCATCAGAATGCAACAATTCTATTTCTTTATATTGTTTCTAATTTTAATACACAATATAAGAGAGCTACTGCAACTGCACGTATGATTTCTGCTGTAAAATATGTATGCAAAATTTGTAAAGCAAAATGACTGCAGATACTCCAGTGGTTTGAAAGGGGGAGGAAGCAGTTTACTCCTTGCAGTTGGCTTTCTGCAGGCCTCTGCTGTGCTGAGCGCAGGTACCCGGGTGGGACGGAGCGTGGGGTGTGGTGAGGTGAGGGCAGGCGGTGCTGGGCTCGCTGCTCCCCGGGCACTGGAGGTCCTGCCCTGCCCTCGGTGCAGCCCGGCTCGTCCCGTCCCGTGCGGGGCGAGGAGCCCCGCGGGGCTGCTGGAGCGGAGCCCCCGCGGGCACAGCGCGGCTCTGCCCGGGGACGCTGGCACCGCAGCCGGGCTGGTTCGCTGAGCCCGAGCCCGACCCCCGCGCGTGTGGCACAGCCGGCTCTCTGACTGTACATCCACGGCATCGAGACAGGCTGAAACAGAGAGCGAACCCACGTACCTGTCCCTGTGGCCTGGGCTCTCCTGGGCATCGGTCTGCGAAGGTCTGATGTGTCGCAGCGACTGCTCCCCCAGCCCGCTGGTGTGACCTTCTCCTCCGGCTGCCTCTGCGGGGATCTGAAACGTGGCTGTGGTTTTTAAATGAGGCGACTGACGCAGTTAACCCCAGAGTTCAAATGGCTAAATCACGTGGAAGTTACCGAAGGAGTGGGACAGAAAGACGTAAGTGCTCACGAACAGCCCAGGGCCCTCTCTTTCCTGTTGCTGGGGAGGGGCAGGCGAGGGCTGTGCCCGACACCCACCCTGCTGCCCACGGGCACTGAGGGGTGGGAATGCCGGCTCAGGCGTGGTGCTGGGCCAGATTCACAGGTCTGTGTGATTCCCATTAAGCTTTTGTGGAGGGCAGATGGTCAGAGGTGTTTGATCTGTAGGTGCCAGGGACGGGAGCTGTCCGGGCTGGAGGCTGGAGCTGTGACCTGGCTGACCCCTGTGGGCACTGCCCTGTGCAGTGTGTCCTGCTGCTTTCAGGCCTGAAGGTTTAAATGTTTATCATGTGTTTACATATGAAAGGGTCATGAGACGTGTGGTTAGGTCACCCTCAGTGTGTGGACTTTCTTGTGTGGTTCCCAAAAGTTCATCTGCTCAGTCCCAGATCCCTGACCTGGGGCTGTGAGTGTGTGACATCAGTGGCTGTTTCTTTGCTTTTGTTTTTATAAATCTGAAACCCTGTTGCACCTTGCCCCCCTTCCCCCATATATTTTACATTTAAAATCTATCTGGAATCAGGATTTTGCAATGTAGTCGGTCCTTGCTCATTGTGATATACCTGCATGAAATTCCAGGTTTTGGGAATCTCACAAGCGTTTGCTTTAGAGTTCCACTCTAATTTCTGGATTTTAAGGCATGTAGGGATTCTGCTGATCTCAATTAACATTCTAAACCTTTGGACATTTACCAAGCACCATTAAAAATAAAAATGACACATTAGGGAAATAGGGGAAATATTTTTATTTATTTTTGGTATGCCATGGGAAAAGGTCTGACACCATGCTGGGGGTGAGGGACTGACAGCGACACTGAAACTCTAACTGGTGGCACTTGGTTGTGGTTGAGAATCCACAGGAATTTACAGACCCCGTACCAGAGCTTTGGGAAGGAACAGATGAAGAATGTCTGGTTTTATGTTTAGTCATAAGCTGAAAGTTCAGACCATATTTGTCAAAATGTTTGCAAAACGTCGTGATCCGGCATGATCCCATGTCCAGTTGTGAGCAAACATGGGCTCATTTTATGGTGTTCTGCTTATGCAAAGCTGATCTCGCCATACTTGTAGGGTTTTTTTTAAACCCAAACTGCAGCACTGTCAGTTGTTTCTGTCTCTGTGTCTTTGTTGTTCTCCCCTTTTCAGCAGTCAGTTTACAACTCAGGAAACTTCCAGGTCTAAACAGACGAAGTATGTGATAGTTGGGTAAACGTTTAGAGTGAAATGGTCTGCCCTTTCTGCAGAGGTGTTTTAGGAGGAGAACAGATGTGAATATGAGTTACTTGGGTGTGTGAGGAGCTGGCTTGGGGTGTCTGAGGCATGATGTGCTGGGAAAGATGTGAAAGGATTAATTTACCCAGTGCTGAAAAAAATTGGCTTCAGTTCATCCAGCGAAGTGAGGAGCAAGGCTGGGGAGATGGAGCAGGGGCTTGGTTTGACACTGGTGTTATTTGGGACTTGTCACTCACAGGGTGGGTTTGTAGCAGGAGCAGGGGCACAGGAGCATTTCTTGACTAGTGAAGCTCTTGGAGGAGGAGTTTTTCAGAGTGAATTATATGTAGCATTCCTTTGAACAAGGGTGTTGATCACCACCCTTTCCCTGGTGCCTGCATGTAGGTTCTTGTTGTTCTAATATCAGTGATCTGCTGGGGTGAGGAAGCAATATAAATAATGTTTTCAAAGCTTGCAAAGCAATTAAAAAGTTATTCAAATATATATTGGGGAAGAGTTTTCATCTGCCTATGCCAGTGATCTTTCGCAGCCACAATTATGTAGATTTACGTAGGCAAATAAATACCAAGCCCTGCCATGCAGGGAACTGAATGTTTTTGCCATAAATGACAAAAGATCTTCCACAAAGCACCAGATTCCCTTTCCCAGCAGGTTGGCTCCCTTGTTTAGAGGGCAGAGCCTTCAGAGTCTGTTTAATGGAGTTGGGGAGCTCTGAAAGAACCACATAAATAATCTTTTATGTGTTTTCTTAACAAACACAACCAGAACACAGCCTTGTCCTGTAGTCCCTGTGGGCAGGTTTGGGCTGGGGACCCCCAGCCCCTACAGTCCAGTGAACACCCAGGGTGCTGGTCCTCCCTGGGACAGCTGGGACTGCTCTCCAGGCAAGTGAGAAACACGTGGAGGTGGATTTGCTTCACAAAGGTGTGTGTGAACCCAGCAGAGGTGTCCAGACCTTTAGCTGGAATACAGTCCTGTGGGATGGTGGAATCCTGCTGCTGCAGACCAGTGGTCTCGGGCCAAGAGAAGTTACCCCTGGTCTTGGAGAAGGTGCAAGGACCAGATGTTTGAAAATTTTTCACTCTTATCTGTTAGGACTAAAATGAAACAGTGACAGAAGGGTGAAGCACATGTTATTTCTCTTCCTGTAGTTTCTTTGTTAAGTAAAATGAAAGCATTCAGCCTCCAGAGCTGCTGCCTGAAAGCTTTAGTGGAGACTTTATGCCCTGGTGGGTTTTCCCTGTACGATGATAAAATCAATTAAAAAAAAAAAAAGCCGCACTGAAAAATACAATTATAAAAGATATTATATTTGTACAGAGCAGATTGGTGGCTTTCAGCTGTTACCTTGGTACAGACAGAAATGCTTTATCACTGTGTCAAAAGCATGGGAAAACCAACAAACCATTCTTTCTGGATTTAAATGCACCTGGATTTTCTAGACAGCGGTACCTGTGTGTTCACAGACAGCTCTGTGATGTTCTTGCCTCTTCCTGCACCAGCAGAGTTTCTGCAGTTTGGTGTGGATGTGTTTGTGTTCATGTTAGTTCAGGGAAGTCCTGAGGAAGACCGTGCAGTGTAACTGTGCTCCTTACTTTATAGAAGGATCCTCTTGAAACCCTTGCTTAGATTGAACATCACATCTTATAGAAATATTCTGACATTTTTTGCCCAAGGGTGACAAATAGTTATGTTTAGTTCTTAATTTTATAGAATATGTCCCTTAAGAAAACTTCTATATGTTTATATGTGTATATATATAACCAAAGATATTTCAGGCTTTGTATGTATCTGTGAGGATTTGCTGTGTGGTTTTTTGATTTTTCTTTTTAAATTTATTTTTTTATTTGTTATCTTCCCCCCCCCACAGTTGTTGGCATAGAATCCTTCCTTAAGCTGTGCATTGCCACCAACCCTTTGCTCTGTGACCCAGGAGATACACGAGTGAGATTCCCAGCACAGTCTGGGTCCCCTTGGTTGGGCTGGTGGAGGCCAAGTCTGAGAGACTCGTGCTGACCATCCTCGTGCTGCCTCCGAGGGCTCTGCCTGCTCGAGGGGGAGTGTTGGGTGTTCCCAGGGCTGTCAGGCTGCTCTGGTGGTTGTCGTGTGTCGTGCCTGGCTTTGTGAGAAACAGCAGAAAATTGGTTTGGTTTTGGGTCTTTTGGATGATCATTTCAGAGACCTATGGCCTGGAGCTCCAGAACATGCCATTCCAGGTGCTCCTCTCTCTGTTTTGAAGATCCGGGTGGGTTGTGTCAGATCCTAATGCAATCACAGCGTCAGTGAAACAGCACATAGTCAATACATTGGTACATGCAATAATGGTTATATACAGAGAAAGAGCACTTGGTGTTTTGTGTTGAAACCTCTTTTGTTTGTTGCTGGTTCTCATCTGTTGTGTTTCTTTGGGACATTTGCATTCGTGAATGACTTCCTGAAACGTGCACGGTTGTACAGACCTGAAACTACAAGATGTTTATACTTTCCCGGAGTGTATTTGATCTTCTGGATTTAGAAATTTCAACCTCACTCGAAGCTTTCAGCTTGAGATGCAGTTTTTGATACAGCTTTTCTTTAAAGGGGAGGCAGAGGAAGAAATAAATAATGGGGTCAAGGCAGATGTTCGCAGCAGACAGCACCAGAGTGAACTCCTTGGCATAGTACAGTGATTTTTGGGACTGGCAGGTGAACTGGGAGCTGGTCTGGCTCAGGGTGTATGGGGTCCTGCAGAGGTGGTAGGGCACAAAGCAAATGACAAACACAAACATGATGCTGAATATATTCCGGCTGGTTTTTCTCTTGGCCGTGTCTGAGCTCCTTCGGAATTTTTTGTAAGAGCTGTATATTTTTTTGGATATAGCAGTGTAAAATATGATTAGCAGAATAAAAACAACCCAGAAAATCCCTGTGCAAATATAAGTTGTTGCTGTGTGCCACTGTCTGCCAAGCTCACTTTTAAGACCTATACATTTTCTGGAATAATTGTCTTTAGTGATTTCATTAGTTAAAATCATATTTGGAAATGATATAAGCATTAACGACAGCCATATGATTATAGAGACCACCTTGCTGTAGTTCACTGTGTGAACAAAGGAGGTGAACAAAGGTTTTACAATTTTGTAGTATCTGTCAAAGCCTATGAGGCCGAAAAAGGTGATCCCAATGTACATGTTCATGTAGAACACGACTGCAGAGTATCTGCACACAAACAGGTTGAGCTCCGGAGGTGCAATCTCTGAATCAGCCAGGATTTTGAAAGGAAATGTCAGGCTCATGAGGAGATCAGCCACGGCGATGTTTTTGAGATAGACAATAAAACTCTTTGTGCTGGAAACGTGCAGGAAGACCCAGCCTGCCAGGGCGTTCAGCGAGAGCCCCGTGAGGAAGATGAAGGAGTAGAGCAGTGGAATGACTGTCGTAGTCACTGCTGTGCGGGGGCTGCAGTTGTTTCCCGAGGAGTTTGTGCTGGTGTTGAACATCCTACAGTTCCTAGAAGCAGAGAAACAGTATCTCAGTAGGACAGAGTGATGCTGAGCTTTCTGTTAGTTACTGTAAGTTTTCTACTCTTG